AAGGACCTGCTGCTGTTATGCGAGTTCACAGAGGCAACCCACCTGATGGTCTGATCTGTGCATACAAAACTGAACGCTAAGAAAAAGAAGAAGATATTGCCCAAATATTTCAGTTTTCAAGATAAAATGCTACTTAGGAGCCAATTTTTCCCTTCGTGCTTGTTTTTAACCCCCCCCCCCCCCCCCCCCCCCCCCCCCCCCCCCCCCGAATGTTTTCAAGACGAATGACTACATTACTTTACATGGATGGCTTGACCTGGATTAACAGAGCAGCTATTTGTTTGCTGAGAGTGAAACACAAAGCTCCACTGCTGTAGCAACAATGCCCTGGAGTCTCCAAAATGCCCTGTTTACATAAACCTAAAGCCTCTATGATGGCTTAGAACTGTTGCTCTGTAGAGTTTTTAAACTGCCTTCAGCAAACAAGAACTTAATTAGTTAGTCTTTCCTCTTGTGTCGAGTGCTGCACATAGGGCAGAGGTCATGACTCTCCATGCATGGCGGTTCGTTGCAATCTGTTACAGGTCTTGGATTTTTGAGTGGCCCATGAGCAAGCCTTCCCTGATGATAGTTCTACATAGGGTTTCCCTTGGTCTTCCACGAGATCTTTTCCCCTGTGGTGTCCAAATGAGGGCTTGGTAAGGAAGTCTTGATTTATCCATTCTAAGGGCGTGGCCGACATAGTTCCAGCGACGTTTTCGTATAAAATTAGACACATACTCTTGCCTGGATTCTTGCCTTATTTGTGTATTGGTTCGGAAATCTGACCATTTGAAATTTAGTATTCTTCTAAGGCATTTATTTTCAAAACTGTCTAATTTTGTGTCTAGAGTTTTCATTGATTTCCAGCTCTCGCATCCATACGTTAGTACTGGAATCACACAAGAATTGAAGATCTTTTTTTTTGAATAACAACAACTAGACACTTTTAAATTTCTTTAGCACATAACAACTAAACACTTTTAAATTTCTTTAGCACATAACAACAAAACACTTTTAAATTTCTTTAGCACATAACAACAAAACACTTTTAAATTTCTTTAGCACATAACAACAAAACACTTTTAAATTTCTTTAGCACATAACAACAAAACACTTTTAAATTTCTTTAGCACATAACAACTAAACACTTTTAAATTTCTTTAGCACATAACAACTAAACACTTTTAAATTTCTTTAGCACATAACAACTAAACACTTTTAAATTTCTTTAGCACATAACAACTAAACACTTTTAAATTTCTTTAGCACATAACAACTAAACACTTTTAAATTTCTTTAGCACATAACTAGACACTTTTTAATTCCTTCAGCAAACAACAACTAGACACTTTTATTTAAATTCCTTCAGCAAACAACAACTAGACACTTTTATTTAAATTCCTTCGGCAAACAACAACAAAATACTTTTAAATTCCTTCAGCACACAACAAGAAACTTTTTAATTCCTTCAGCAAACAACAACTAGACACTTTTATTTAAATACCTCCAGCAAACAACTAGATACTTTTTTAATTCCTTCAGCAGACAACTTGACTTTTAAAATCCTTCAGCACATACACCCCAATGCACCACAGTCCAGTCAGCCCAAGGGGTCTTTTTTGTTTTTTGAATCTGCATCGAGACAGATTTTTATTTCAAGATTATGACCTTTTCTCCTAGGTTGACCCAGCCTGTCTTGGGAAGTAAAGGTGGCCAGGGTGAAGATGACCATATCACCAGTCAAGGGCAAACTGGTCTATACAAATATGAGTCTAGCCCTATATGCCCAATGCACCATTGTCATATCAAAAATCTTTTACTCACTTTACACAACCTCACTGGAGGCCTGTCACAAGTAAAATCTAAATATCACTTTTAAAAAACAGACACACACAAACCCAACAAAACATCAACAGCATTTTTTATTCGCAACACACTAAACTATTTTCAAAGTTCCACAAACAAGGAGTACAAGAAAATGTGTCTCAACTGAATGAACAAAAGTTAACTTGACATCAACTGTATTTGTACAAGAAAAGCCTGCAGCACATCCAGAAAGCTTGACAATAACAATTCTCTCCCCTTGTCTGTACTTCAACATTGATGTCTTTACAGAAAACCAAGAATGATGATGATGATGACATTAATGTGGGCGCTGATAAAAGATGAAACGGTTAACAAAAGGATCAACAAAAGAACATCATGAGATGGAAATGATGATGACTGATGAAAACAAGTTGAGAGGTTAAAGAAAAGTGATACAACAGGAAGATTATTTTTAACTTATAATCCTAAAAACAGGATTATTTTGTTTCTGACCAGCAAGGTTCTGGGACTGACCCAGGATAATTAAAAAAATTGTATTTTTATCATTTTCTCGTGACCCCCCCCCCCCCCCCTTAAAAAAGAAAATATGGTTTTTGGTCTATTCTCTATCTCTCTCTCTCTGCAGCATAGCTGTCTTTCCATTAAAAGTGTAAATCACAGTATGTAACTTCCCAGCTCCCATGACATCCACCATGGATCTCCGAACACCTGCATTCACGAACCACAGGACAGAATACAACTCTGGAGTCTGAGGCAAATAGTTTAACCATTTCATAATGAGAACATCCCCTCTCTTCAAGTAAAACTTGCAAAAACTTCCAGTCAATATGATTTACTGTTAATCAGTTATGGCAAGTTTTTTTTTCTGGCATTAGTTAACTGTTGCATTTTCCTCCATATGCAGACTGAAAGGATATAGTTCCATCGCTCAGCAACTGAGTTAAGTGCGTGGCACAACATTGAGAGCTGCAGAATTGCTTTTTAACAGTGCACATTGTTTGGTGTTGTAAACTTGCAGATTCAGAAAATGGCTGAGTGGCCTGTTGCCAGACAACGGGTGGTGCCTTATGCGATTAACTGCCTGTGCAACTACTGACCTGTTGTAACTGCTGCTTACACTGACGCTGAAATGCATTTCTGGTGTCAAACTGTTTGTGTTGGCACTAATGACTGCTGTCTTATGCATTTAATGTATGTGTATGCTATTGAATTTGCTAACACTGTAGTCTGTATCAATTTGTTGATGAAGATTCCGTTCCTCATTGTTCACACACTGCTGAAGTTTCTTGACCACATCTGGTTTCTCAGTTATTACCAACTGAAGGCAACACTGGGTGGCGAATTGATACATGACAAGGCAGATGCGGCCAAGGCCCTTTGGGAACAAGCAATGGAATCAGTAAAGAAACAAGATTATTACAGCCTGGAGAGAATGAGACACCTGGGCGTAACCAGAGGGTGTGGCTGGCTCACTACACTCAGAGGAAAGGCAAGACAGACATAAAACCAGATTGTGACCTGTACCATCAGTACTGGAACTCTGCGCTGGCTGCTGAAGATGAGGACAGAGTACACGCGGGAATGCCCCGAGTGCTGTGAGGTCAATTCTTATCTCAACTCAACTGACGGTCTTACAAGATCTCTCATCAAAACCATAAACAAAAGACAAATAAAAATCAATGGGGTGTGTCAATAAAAGAGATGGAAAAAAAGAAAAAAGAAATATAGCCTTAGATGTGAAAATACTAGGGAGGATACAGAAATGCTGAAGCACATATGGTGGTGAGCCACGAGGACAGAGGCTCAAACTGGGTGAGACATACCTAACCTCTCTGTGGTCATCCTAGCCATAGGTTCTCCACTGTTGGCCTGGAAAAAATGTAGATAGGATCCACATTTTCCTTCAGTGCATCTGCCTGAGAGGCTAGGAACCAACAGTCTGCACATGAATCAACCAGATCTGTAAAATGGATGTGCAGGTAACATTCAAGCCCTGGAACAAGAATACCAGAAGTAGATAAACAACCAGGCCTTTTCACCAGAGTTTACAGCCGGCAAACACAAAGAAGAAGAAAATACTGGGCAAGAGAAAAAGAGGAAGGTTTAAAAAAAAAAAAATTTTTTAATTGAAAATACCAATCTGAAAAGTCTAAACAGTTGGGCAACAAATAATCAAGACCATCATCATGTGCCCTGCCAACTGGCGTAGGTGCTCATGCGTCTCCACAGATCACGATCCCTGGCTGCCTGGAACAGCTCTCTTGATGATATCCCTCCATGCCATCGTTTCAGTCCATCCAGCACCGTCTCTCTTGGTCTGCCTCTACCCCTTTTTCCCCTGGACTTTCCAGTTGTCACGATGTTCTCCAATGTCTCTCTTTCCATTATGTGGCCAAAGAACAGCGTTTGTCTCTTTTTTTTAATCAAGACTATCTCTATCAAAACATCAGACAACTAAGAAGACTGGCTCTGCTTCAGACTAGTGTTGACAAAGAAGGTGATTAAACTGGGCTTGTGGATAATATTATGTTGCTCGATAACCTAAAGAGACTTTCAGATTCACCGTGGTGCCAAAGCGGGACTGATCTTGGCAGACAGGAAAAAAACTTTTAGTCTAAGAGGCAATGACTCAATTTTCTTCTTATTCTTAGCGTTCACCAGCTGTTAACTTTCCTGGAAAGTTCTGATTTTGGTCCCTTTCTGAACTTTCGTCTTGTTCCATAACTCTTTGAGTCCCAGGGGGTTTAGCATCACCGGCCCAAAGGGGTAGTGAAGAGAGACGTAAAATCAGCGCATCATGCGTTCATTGGGCCTCTAGGTAGGAATCTATGAACGTATGATGCGTTCCTTGGGACTCAAAGAGATAACTTGAGTTTTGGGTGTACACCCATTTTACAGATCTTGCTCACTGATCTGCTGTTGGTGTGATAAACTCCGACTGTAAAGGAAACACACTTTAGGACATGCTTGTCAGAGGAGCAATGGGTCTGCTTTGTTTTTTCCTTCTTTTAAACAGAGCCCTAAAACCCACATGGAGAATTTAGAATAATGAATAAAGGAAAGATGTAAAATCTACATTAAAAATAACAAAATATACAAATAATGCCAGCAACAAAGTACAGCAAAGAATAACACATACAATAACAGAAGAGATATGGTGAGTGGCTGAAGTCTGGGCATCAATCAATGGGTCATGATGTTCGAGAGACTGAGATGCTGCTCTCAGTCCCTTCGCTGGTGCTGCCTTCCTTCTTCTTCTGCCGCAACCTGAGAACATCTTTCAGCATGTGAACCACGTCTTTGGTACTGTCTTCGGGGTCTTCATCTGAATAAAACAGTAATAATATCTCTTTTACATTGCTTGAGTAGCGTCACAATGCAGCTTGAGAACATATGTGTTGACCTGCAAATAACAAAGTAGCCCCATGACATAGAAAACTAATCCTCTTCTTCTTCAACATTTAAGTGTTGGTAGTTCTGCCTATATATTATCTATCCACTGTCTTCTAGGTCTGCCTCTTGGTCTATGGCCATGCAACTCCCTTGTGTATACACAGTGATGCCTCTGTCACCAGCCATTATTTCTACATGTCCCAGCCATTTCAGACTATTAGCCCATATGATACCAGTAAACAGTGGTGATTTAAACAGGCTAGGAATTTTGTTGTTGCTTCTCACTCTCCATCTCTGTTGTCTGCATCTTTGATGGTTAAAAAAATTTGTCATAAGACTGCTCTCAAAAAATGTGTAACACAGCTTCATCTCTTTTAGCTGTACTCTTAGTGTCAGAGCCAAATACGACAACTGTCAGTGTGTTGTATACTGTTGTGATCTTGGTGTTACAAGATAGAGAGAGCCCTTCACTTCAACAGATGTGGAGCAAAATAACATTTCTGTTTCCAGATTGTTACAGAAAACTAATTAATGAAGGATCCAAATCCACGAATGTAATAAAGCCCCCCCCCCCCCCCCCCCCCCCCCTATTTTTCCTTATTTAATTTATCTGGGGAAAAAAAATGTGTACACGTTTTTCATCATTTGTCATGCTGAGGTGGGACAAGTTTTGTTGTAGCTGAGGTGGCAGAAGTCTTGTGGTAGCTGAGGTGGCAGAAGTCTTGTGGTAGCTGAGGTGGGAAAAGTTTTGTTGTAGCTGAGGTGGCAGAAGTCTTGTGGTAGCTGAGGTGGCAGAAGTCTTGTGGTAGCTGAGGTGGCAGAAGTCTTGTGGTAGCTGAGGTGGGAAAAGTTTTGTTGTAGCTGAGGTGGGAAACGTCTTGTGGTAGCTGAGGTGGGAAAAGTCTTGTGGTAGCTGAGGTGGGAAAAGTCTTGTGGTAGCTAAGGTGGGAAAAGTCTTGTTGTAGCTGAGGTGGGAAAAGTCTTGTGGTAGCTGAGGTGGGAAAAGTCTTGTTGCAGCTGAGGTGGGAAAAGTCTTGTGGTAGCTGAGGTGGGGAAAGTCTTGTGGTAGCTGAGGTGGGAAAAGTCTTGTTGTAGCTGAGGTGGGAAAAGTCTTGTGGTAGCTGAGGTGGGAAAAGTCTTGTTGCAGCTGAGGTGGGAAAAGTCTTGTGGTAGCTGAGGTGGGAAAAGTCTTGTGGTAGCTGAGGTGGGAAAAGTCTTGTGGTAGCTGAGGTGGCAGAAGTCTTGTTGTAGCTGAGGTGGCAGAAGTCTTGTGGTAGCTGAGGTGGGAAAAGTCTTGTGGTAGCTGAGGTGGGAAAAGTCTTGTGGTAGCTGAGGTGGGAAAAGTCTTGTGGTAGCTGAGGTGGGAAAAGTCTTGTGGTAGCTGAGGTGGGAAAAGTCTTGTGGTAGCTGAGGTGGGAAAAGTTTTGTTGTAGCTGAGGTGGGAAAAGTTTTGTTGTAGCTGAGGTGGCAGAAGTCTTGTGGTAGCTGAGGTGGCAGAAGTCTTGTGGTAGCTGAGGTGGCAGAAGTCTTGTGGTAGCTGAGGTCAGTCAATCAGATTCAGTCTAAATGTGTGGACATATGCCTGTGAATTGTTGCAGTCCTATGTGACAGTTTTTGCAATGTGGAGCTCGGGGAGACTGTCCAGACCATTGTTATGGATCATCAGTTTGACTACTGGAATGCCGTCAGTGTGAATTTTCTAGAATGGACTTGTGTTGGCCATGTGTGTGAGGTCGGCAAGGTTGCGGCCACATTGCAGGCTGGTTCATAATTTCCTTAAGTGCACAGAAGGTGCTGGCAACGTTTTGTGTGTTGACCACAATGGAGTTGTGATGGGGCAGTATCAGAGGCTGTTTATCAGGATGTTAGTGATGCTTCAATGAGTGGCTGGGGTAGCAGACGGGAGTTCTGCATTCCTTTCATCAAGAGGTGCCTCTGCCTTGAGTCCTCGAGTGGTGGGGTCTTTTAGAGGCAGAACCATCAGAGGATTGTCACTGCACATCACATGGGTGTATCTACACGATTGGGTGTGAGTCGCCTGTAGCAGGCACCCAGTACACAGTTCGCTGGGGTGTTCTGTCCATGTCTGGAGAGACTACCGATAGGAGTATTTGCCATGCAGTAGTAAACCTGACAATGTGCCATTGATCACCAATTCATCTTCGTTGCAGTGTGTTTATCTATAACAAAGATACTAATCGCACTATTCATATTTGGTGTGGCGTGTTATGTTAAGTGAAACGGTTAACAAAAGGATCAACAAAAGAACATCATAAAATGGAAATGATGATGACTGACAAAAACAAGTTGAGGGATTAAAGAAAAGTGATAAAACAGGAAGATTATTTAATTTAAAAAAATTTTTGTTTGTTTATGGTCTATTCTCTTTCTTATAGTAGTGCAGTTCCTGTTTAGGTTGGCCCTGCTTACTCCAGTTATAATCGCCATCAGCATGTGTCGTGCCAATGGTTAGTGGATGGAGGGAATTTAGTGTGTAGGTGTGGAGGACTGACATTTATAAATAAAACCTCCTAAATACGTGGCAAGTGTGTGGTGCATCCCCCAACCGCACGCAACAAAAAAAAAAAACCATGAAAGCCATAACTCTACCTTGTGTAGGTCCAGTTAGGTCCTTCTCCAGGTCCAGTTTGTCATTGGCACATTTCAGCATTGCTTCATCGACTGTATCTTCACAGATCAACTTGTATATGGTCACCTCCCTACAATAAGATGACACCAATATTGTGTTTACCCAGAAAGGCACACATCTGGAACAGTCAATATCACAAGCCAGATATCTGAACAACAGTTCATATATATCCATATTCTGCTTTTGCCTTTAAAAAGGCAGCTGACACACTGTGTGATCTTATATCCATATTCTGCTTTTGCCTTTAAAAAGGCAGCTGACACACTGTGTGATGTGGTGTACAGCTAGGCTGAGGTATCTGTGCCTTTTGAATTAACACAACTATGTTCAGCAAAACCTCACTTAGTCGCCTTTTACAATATGCTTGTGACTGGGCAGTGTGTCAACATTCATTAACTGGTGCCTGCGCAGAATAGAGAGAATTAAATGGTATGATAGAATCACTAATGCTGAGCTTTAAGAGAAAGAAAATTACAGAAATTTCAGTGAATCAAGAGGTAAAGAAGAGACCATGGTGTTAAATAGTATACACACTGGGAAAAAAAATATAACTATAATGTATTTTCACTGGAACCCACAGGGCACAGAAATAAAGGCAGACCCAAAAATGCATGAAGAAGAGAGTTTAAAGAATGAAGTTAAGAAAAGAGGGAGGACATGGTGTAAGCTGCAGGCACTAGCAAGACAGGATGACTCGGCATGAGCTGGTTGAGGCTGTATTAGAGGAAAGAAAGCAGCAGAAGAAGACAAGATGATGCTGCTTACCTCTTTTGACCCAGCCTGTGGCAGCGATCCTCGGCCTGTTTGTCATTGTAAGGGTTGAAGTCAATGTCGTGCAGGATGATTGTATTGGCGGCCACCAGGTTAATGCCCAATCCCCCAGCCCGTGTGGACAGGAGGAAAATAAAAATATCGGGCTCATTGTTGAAACGATCAATCAGCTGTAATCTGAAAGCAAATCGGAATGAGGGACTGTATGGCACATTTCAAGGTACCACAACAACAATAGGACACACAGGTCAACTTCAAGTAGAACATCTTGTTTTAACCCCAAAAAGTGTCAGCTTCAAATTCTCTTAAAGATAACTTGGGGTGGGGGTGGGGTATCAGTCTTTGACTCTTTTGGTCCTAGTTAGTGTTGAATTCAACAGTGTCTATGCTTAAGTTATTGTATCCTAGAGAAACAATTTTGGTAGTCTCATACAGCTCAAATGTACAGCTTTGGGAGAGAAGGTGGTAAAGAAACAACTGGAAAATAAGGGGTTATAAGACAAGAAAGGTTTTTTTTTAAGTAAAGAAATGTGTACGGTGTATAGTGTAACCAATAAATGTTTGATGAGTTCCTTGGCGCTGAAAGAGTTCAAGACAAACTATTCTGCCAGGATGCAGTCCAATGTTTTCTCCTCTTGTTGCTGGTTCGACTGTATCAGCAGCTTTGTTGCCAAAATGGACTCACTCATGAATCAAGTCAGAAACAAAATTGAAACTCACTTATCAATCAAGTTAAAAAATAATGTTAAACTCACTCATTCTTCAAGCAAGTCAGAAAGAAACTCATTCACTGATCAGGTTCAACAACAAACAATCAAACAGAAAAGTTAAACTCATCCTCCAAGCAAGTCAGAAACATATTCACTGGAATGAAGCTTGGCTTACAACGACACTTTAAATGTACCTTGGCTTCCGACGTATCGGACTTCACCATGGTTCAACTCTCTATGGTTACTGCTCTAACGTCTAGGACTGATAACACAAACACCGCTCAGCTTCCTTGTACATGCTATCAGTTTGTTCTGTTGCATTTATTCAACATGCTGCAACGATTATTCACACTTCCATCGCTTGCGACATATTCAAACACTGGTCATTCACACGACATAAGAACTACATCTTCTATTAACACCACTGTCTTCTACGACTTCTGGTAACCAACTGACCACGAGTCTAGCTCGGGCCTGCCCACGCCTACTCAAATGGTCCCAAGACTTTCGTGAGGTTGTTTGTCGAAAAAATTTCCCGCTTTGCTCTCTGTGTGAGACCAAGGCAAAGCACCTCATCACACTCACTCATCAATCAGGTAAGAGAGAAAAGCTGAACTAGACCCACCCACCTATCAGGGACAGGAGTTTGACCATCCATGCGTATATACTTATAGCCCTTCTGTTTCAGGTACTCCTCCATGATGTCCAACACCATTGTGAACTGGCTGAACATCAGCACTCGGTCATCCTAGATTGAGAACAAGAACACATAATGCTAATTATTAGTTCAGGGCAGGGCTAGATTTAGACTTGATGAAAGTGTAAAGTAGTTGGCAGACCCTAAGGAAGAACTGCAATAGCAGAATAAAGTGGTTGGTAGATCCTATGGAAGAATTGGAATAGTGTCAAGTGGCTGGTAAATCTTAGCATAGAAATGCAGTAGGAGTGTAAAGCGATTGGTGAGTCTTAGGAAGTAGGCATGGTCTCAAAATCAGGGCCAAAAAGCTGGAAGACAGGTATGCCAGCCACTGCACTACTCTGGTTCCTATATTTATTAGTAGAAAGGACATTTTCCCACATCTTACAGAAGATGAGTTATTTTCTGGTACCCTTTTAAGCTTAGTCAACTTGGAAACTCAGCAAATTTGTGTGTGTGTGTGAACCACCACATCGCTGGACAACCAAACACACACAAAGTGGCCAACACAAAAATGGGTGTTAAGTTGCCAGTCGTTGCTGGTGTTCCACCTAACATTTCTTCCACCTGCAACTGTTAAACGCCGAAGCAAACAGAACACATCAAGCAAGACTGTCCCAGCTTCACCAAAAAGAGGATCTGTGTATATGCACAGTTAGGACAGGGGATTTGGGGACATTGCTGTATAGGGGGACTGAGCATGATAGGGGAATTCCCAAATGTTTAGTGATGCAGAAATTGAAAACGTAATATAAAGACAGCAAAAAAAGATCTGGCCTACTAAACAGAATGCCATACAAATCTAGCAGAAAAAAATTGTTATTCAACATTCAAATTGCCATAAAATTATACAACACGAGTGGATACCTCACGTCAATATTCACCTTTGCTAGATTTAGACATGAAGCAGAAGCTGAATGTTAGTTCAAGAAGTGGAAAAACTGGTTTTATATGCTAAACCGTGTGTCAAGTTTAGCAGGACATGCAAACAGCTTAAACCCATCATTACAACTCTAAAGCAGAAAAACTTTCCAGGTTAAAGTCTAGAGGACTGACTTTATTGGGTTTTATCCCATGTGGCTCGGTGTCTCTCTAGCCTGCCGAAAGCATCACACAAAGCACAAACTCAGAAGCTCCGGCAACGATCCCTATAAAAAAATGCACTTATGAACTAAACAGCAAGGCCATGAACCAAACCCACAACCTTCAGAGAGTGAGGCAAATGGCTTGATCACTCGCCATAGAGACCCCCAACAGCAGAAATACTTTGCCCCTATTAAACGCTAGTGGTTTCATACAAATTATACCTGCTCAAAGCAGCGTTGATACTTTCCATAACACCAAGTGTTGCTTTACTGAGCTCATTTTATTTGAAAAAATTACTTTAAACCTCATTACCCAAGAAAACTAAATCTAGTCACTTCTGGTTGTGACACAGTCCAGTAAATGCCGATATATGGCCATGACTGCAGGGATCTGTTCTCTAAAGGTTAGTTGCATATCCTTTACAGGACGTTGCAGAACCAACCCCAACAATAATGGCATCCGTCAGTCCCGGGGGACTATGGAGATGTGCCGCTGGCTTTGGGAACAGCATCTGCTGTGACTGTAAAGACCAATGCGGGACTTTGCCACACAGGATACACACAAAAGCAGATACTCCCTCGTTGTGATGCAGTTTTACTCTCCGGTGCCTCCTCTCCACAGCTCGTGTTCGGTTTCTTTCAAAATGTGACAGTCCATCTTTCACTTTCTGTCTCCATAGTAGTCGATCTGCAGCTGATTTTTCCCATGTCTCTGTGCCTATGGTGGTATCTATTAGGTCACGTTTGCATATATCTTTATAGCGCAGCTTTGGCCTTCCTGTAGGTCTATTCCCAGTTACCAATTCACCATATAGGAGATCTTTTGGAATACGACCATCCTCCATGCGGGAGACATGTCCCAGCCAGCGCAGACGTCTTTGCTGCAGTATAAAATACATTGATGGTATTTTTGCTCTTGTGAGCACACATTCGTTGGAGACAAGGTCTTGCCATAACATACCAAGGATGCATCTCAGACAGCGCATATGGAAGGTATTCAGTCTTTTTTCCTGTGGAGCATAGAGAGTCCAGGATTCGCAGCCGTACAGTAATGTGCTCAGGACACAAGACTCAAAAACCTTCATTTTTGTATTATCAGTTAGCTTTTTGTTTAACCAGACTCTCTTGTGAGATTTGCAAACATAGCAGAGGCCTTTCCTATACGTTTGTTTAGTTCTGCATCCAGAGAATGATTGCTTGAGATACGTGAGCCTAGGTACTCAAACTCATTTACAACAGCCCCTGGCTATTGTGTGGTTTTTCTAGGCAAATTTAGGTCCAGTAGTTTGCCATTGCTTTCTAGACGGTAGGCTTTCTTGATACCACTGTCGAAACCAACGCAAGGCGCATGACCCAAAGCTAGGATCGAACCCGGCATCCCAGCATTACGAAGCGTTCGCATCGACTTAGCCACAGAGCCGACCTGTTCTTTTAAAGTGTGGTTAAATTAAACAGGTTCTGTGTGCACCTGTGCAGGCTTAACAGATGATGACATGAATACAGAAACTAAAAATAGTATTTAGTGAGGTTTCTTTATAACTGCAATAGCTTTCTGAAAGCCAAGCTGATGTCACACTTTCTCGTAAGCCTCAGTGGTAGAGGTCAAGGGGTCACGGCATGAGTCACCTGATTGTTTTTTAATGCCCCAAGGAATTTATTCCATTTAATGTTTTATGTTGTTAATGTGTATTTATTTAAATATCTTTATATATTTCAGAAAAAATAATACAGTGTGGATAAATACATTTTTTACAAAACATATTAGTGGCACATGTAATCTGGTTTTTTTCTAAAGGATTTTTTTTTCTGGAAATTCCTGTGGGTTCATGACCTATTTAAAAAAAAAATGTATAAGATAAAAGGGTTAAGCAATCAATGTTGGATTTGAGCCATCAGAATTGCAGCTTCTTCTTCTTCGTGTTCACCCACTGTAAACTCCTGCTGCAAGTTCTGGTTGTTTGTCCACCTCTGGACCTCAGTCTTGTTCCAGAACCTGAGTGTTGCGTGCACATCAGTCTAACAGATCTGACTTAATTTGTATGCAGATTTTTGGTTCCTTGCCTCTCAGGCAGATGCACTCCGACTTTGAAGGAAATCTCTGATTAGTTGACTCTTATGACATGCTTGTTGGGGAGGCAGTGGGACTATTCTTATTTTCCCTACAATGGGACCCCGGGGACCCACACTGGGATTGAGGAGTTAATAAAACAACATCAACAATAAGCATACAAGAATTTGCCACCTGGGAAAGCACAGCAGACAGAGTTGACTCCTGAGCACAAAATGCAGGACTGCCATGCCCTACCTGGTCCCAGCAAAGGTTGGGAATCTGCACCAACAAATCTACATTATAAGACAAGCTGAGTGGAAACCTAGAATTACAGAGACTGTGGAAAAGAAGGATGGCCAAGAGAAATTCTAAACTAAACAATGATGACAGAAGCCAAAGCGTCTGGACTGAATTCCATTCATGACATCAAAGTGACTGCACAGTACAGAATGGAATGGAGAAATACACTGAGCACTATGGGACATATAATGGCACAACCAGACAGTGAGTGAATGAATGAATGTGTGGGCACCAGCTGTGACTTTACACATATCATCCTGTTGTGACCCAAATAAGGCTAAAGTTTAGCATGGCTGATTTCGAATGTGGAAGGTACAAACTAGGTTAGTACCCCAAGTGGGCGCATCACAAAGGGCCCAGAATAGTATATCACGCCAGTGAAAGTAAAGAATCCTTTTGCAGGCTTTCAGGCATATTAGGCAATGCAGTGCTAGACCTAAATTTAAAAGACCAATCGGCGCTCAGTGGGTGATGTGGTCAACCTCATGCCAGCCACCTTTACTTCCCAGGATTTCACCTGGTACCGATTTAAGACTGGGTCGACCTGGGAGCCAGGTCATTTTTTTTTTAAAGTCCGGACGCGTTCAGATTTGAGCCCTAGACCTTTGAGGTGAGCATCTAGCTGCTACACCATGGCAGCTCCTTCTATTACATCAGTCAAAACTAGCAAACCCAGGGTGAGCTGCTTGTTATTGAATGAATTAATTGAAAATAAGGTTACTTTGAGATGCGATAGTGGCAAACAAGATACTGGATCACAAAGTCCCCGAGGAAGTTCCAGGGACCATTGGTGAAGAGGGGGGGGGGGGGGGGGGGGAGAGAATAGATCCACTGCCCCCTAACAAGAATGTCCTAAGAGTCTGACTAGTTAGGGATATTTCCTTTTAAGTTGGAGAGCAACTGCCTGAGAAGCAAGAAAACAAGTCTACTTACAAATAATACCGATCTTTATAATGTATGTAAACACACAAAACTCAAGTTCTGGAAATAGACTAAAGCCCAAAAATGAATTAAAAAATCAGAACTTTCTGCCAGATGTTAAGGCCAGTGATTATAAAGAAAAAGCAAGAAGCAGAAGACCATAACGCACAATAAGATTTTATCATTTAAATAGTGTAACCAGACATGGTGGTGCGTATAGCAAAGCCAAGCACTACTTACTCTTGGCTGATTTTTATGAGAGAAATGCTTGGTTGGGTACAATGCTGTTATTCTTTGCTTCACTGGTAACACACAGTGACATGTTTTCATATATGTGGGTTGCCATGGATGAGAGATTCATTGACAACATGTTGTGCCAGTCATGCATCACACAGGGCCTGTGTGAACTCTTTATGACATCATGGATAGAATCCAGTCCAGAGTCTTTGGTCTCTCTCATAAAAGTTTGTGGCAAAGCCAGTCAAAAGGGACACAAAAAAGGTTTGGATCCAACTGACTTTCAACACCCAGTATGTTTGAATGGTAAAACTGTGCTCACAACCACTAAACCCACAGATATAGACTTGGACCACATTACTGTAATGGTTGTTGTTCGTCCATCACGAGTGATGAAGACCATTTTCATCCAAAGTAGTAGTGATCAATCATTATGAGTACGAAGGTGGCTGATTAGTCCAATATGAGCCTGGAAAGTTCTTGAGCAATGCCGACAACAGGTGGAAGCCGCAGTAAGTGTGGTATTAGCGATACGGTTCTATCTAGTCTGCTTCAGTTTTGCTGACTGTGCAACCTCCTCTGCCTGGCAGGCTGATGCACAAAGCCTGAGGGACGTACACCATCCGGAACTGTCCTGTACAGCAACCTCCCATGTTGCTGAGTTGATGCCAAAAGAGTTGAGAGCAGTTTTGAGAGTGTTCCTAATAGCCCTTTTTCTGTCCTCCCTGGGACCTCTTCCCTTGCATGAATTCATCATAAAATACTCTCTCTGGGAGGCGATAGTCTGGCACGCAGGCTAGGTGACCAGTCCAACACAGCAGATAATTCTTTAGTATCGTGTGGCTGCTAGGCAGGTTTGTCTATCAAGAACCATAGTGTTTGAGATCCATTTGATTCTGAGCAGCTTTCTGAGACAGACAGGTTATATGAAACTGATTCAACTTCTTAGAATGGCGCTGATAAACAGTCCACGTTTTGCAAGCGTAGAGCAGCAGTGGAAGAATTACAGCTTTGTGAACCTTTAGCTTGGTCAGCAGGGGGATTCCACTTCTATTCCAGACGCTAGTATAAAGTCTGCCAAAACTACAGCTGGCCTTTTAGATTCTAGCATTGATCTCAACATCAATGTTGACTCTCTGAGATAAGCGAATCTATTAACTATATTTAGCTTTTAATCATTTACAGCGATTTTTTTTTCTGGGATTCGGTTGACGGATAACAAGTTTTATCAGTGTTGACAGTTAGCCTGAAGTTGGTAGAGGCTTCAGACAATCTACTGGTGATGTGCTGCATACTAGCCTGCATAAAAGTTCCTTCATTGTAGTTGTTTTAGTCAACTGCCTTCCCAACAAGAATGTCCCAAGAGTCAACTAACTGGGGACCTCCTTTGAAGTCGGAGTGCATCTACCAGAGAGGCAAGTAACCAACTAACTGCATACAATTTAGTCAGATCTGTTAAACAGATGTGCATGCAACACTCAGGTTCTGGAACAAGACTAAAGTCTAGAGGTGGACAAACAACCAGAACTTTCCGCTGGAGTTTATAGCTGGTGAACGCGAAGAAGAAATATCAAAGAAATAGGAGTAAATGCCAAAGAAATAGAACATTCAGAAGAGAAATCAGAGCAAATAGTAGATAGATAAGACAATGTAAAAAAAAAAAAAAAAAAAAAAAAAGATAAAAGAAAGACTATAAAAAAATAAGACAAACATTAAGACTAAACATCAAAGAATAAGAGAAATAAACTAAATGTTTTAAAAATAAGACTAACCAGAGTTAAACAACAAATAGTTCACATACCACAAAATCAGATTACAGATCAGAGAAGCAGATTACATGTCTGCAAAACAGGATGTTTAACAACAAAAGACCTGTTTTCACAGTAGTTATACTCCTCAAGATTAATAACAACAGAATTCAAACCACCACATGTTCTTTTTATCCTTTAGATTCCTCCCTGGCAATCAGTCAACAAACTGGGGTCACTTAGTGTGTCTGTGTTTGTCTTTGAACCTTGTATTAACATTAACAAATCAATGGCTTTATCTGTAGCAAGCCACTGCTGGTTAACAAATCTTTACTGGGCCTTACAGACAATCTTTCAGATAAATAAGCAGCAAACACAGTAAACCAGATGTTCTCAAACCTTGAGCTGGGGGAAGAGGGAAGGGAGAGGGGATGGGGGGGGGTGCACACGCGCAAACAGGTAGTGAAATGAGACCCTCATAGACATAACAGATTAAGAAAGTAACTCTAAATTATAAATGATGGACAAGATAGGTAACTTGCGTATCCTTTACATGACGTTGCAGAACCAACCCCAGCAACCCCTGGCTGTTGTGTGGTTTATTTAGGCAAATTTAAGTCCAGTAGTTTGCCATTGCTTTCTGGACAGTCGGCCCCCCTGATACCACTGTCGAAACCAACGTAAGGCGCATGGCCCGCAGCTGGGATCGAACCCGGCACTACGAAGCGTTCGCATCGACTTAGCCACAGAGCCGACGATGGACAAGATAGTAATTCTAAATTATAGACGATGAACAAGACACTAATACTGAATTATACACATGATGGACACAACAGTAACTTATAATGCCAGCTTACCCTTTCCTTGAGCTGTGGTAAAAGAGTGTCTAGCTGTCCAAACTTGGCTGAATCTGCTATAACTGAGGTGTCCAAAATATATTTCCCTAGGTATTTCTGCACACAAAGATCAGGCCCCAAAAAAACGGCATTAAAAACTTTGTAACTTTAGGGCATAATCAACTAACTGATCTCTTTTCTGTTTAATACAGTTTGACTAATATTTTACAATCTGTAAATTGTTTTTTTTCTTTTTCTTCATAGTGTCACTGGCTGTAAACTCCATCAGAAAGTTCTGGTTGTTCGTCCAGTTCTGGACTTTTGTCTTGATCCAGAACTTGAGCTTTTAAAGATCTAGCTTATTTGTATACAAACTGTTGGTTCCTTGCTTCTCAGGCAGATGCACTCCGACTTTAAAGAAAACAGTTGACTCATATGACTTTCTTTTTGGGTCTATTCTTGTGTCCCCCCCCCCCCCTATAACCCATACAGGTAAGTTTTCACTATAATTTTGAGCTTTAATTTAAACCTGGAGACTTGAGAGGCTGATGCAGAAGACTGGACTATATGGCGAACATCTATTCAAAGAGATTTGCAAGGCATCTAGAACAAGAGCAGCTGAACAGCAGAGGCAGGCTAGAAAGACCTGTGTAACAGGTCCTTTACCTACAGACACTGTTCCCTGCTCCCATTGCCCTAGATCATCCCTCCAGGCACATACTGGGCTTATAAGTCACCGCCGGACTCACAAACAATTAACTATAGTTTCAGGGTAAATGAAATAAAGTGTTCCTCATCACTTGTGATGGACAAATAACATAATTCTTTTACTAAAAAAGACATAACTGTTAACAAGTTACACGCCACATTTCAACAATTTACATTAACTTTTTCAGGCCCATGAATTTTGACAGACTTGGCCCACATTAATTTCCCTTTACAAAAATGGCAGAGGGGTGGGTGTACAAGAAAGGTTGTAATATAGATTGTAATATACTTATAATCCCTATAACAGTATATATTTTTTTAAAGAGAAATGAGTGTACATTCTGAATCTGATGATAAGTGTTTGTTTGATTTTGTTATAGTTAGTGGAAATGAAGAATTCAGCAGGTGTTAATTTCACAAGGACAACATTTCACAAAAAAATTCTTCACTTACCATGGTTTTGCAGCCACAAGAATAGTAAATATCCAAATTTGAGAACAAAACTTCAAAGTTTGTTCAATTTTCTAACATACTCTAAAGTTATAACTTTCTGGGTTAGTTTATCACTCAGGGGCTCTTAGTTCCCACCGAGTGCTAAGCAAAATTTCAGAGAGAAAAATGTCAGAAAAATTAGCCATAACACACACTATTTACTATTCACTTTGTACAGTTATTTACAGACTGTAGCTGCGATGATTTCAATGTAGCTTAGCCATAGTATAGTACTATCTCTTTGTTTAGAGCACTTTCCTTCTCTTACACCATAAATACGGTAGTATGGGACATTGTCTATGTAACAAACTCGTCAGAATTGCTAGATTCCGAACAGCTGATCGATCAGCTTCAATGGTATAAATTCACTGTCCGAATCACTTTCCGAAAAATCTAAATTTTTATTATCATTCTCACAATTAAAATCATCTGACTGAAACAATTTCAGAGCTTCGGCCGCAGAAAGACGCATTCTGCGACCTGTTCTTGTGGTTAGAACATTGGTATTCAGTGCACTCAAAAACGAACTTAGAAAATGAACTGTTAAAAAAATGTTGATGTTTTTTTTCTCTCAAATTATCCACATGTGGTTTAGTCCAAAAGAATGAAACTAAAAGGATTTCGGCAGAGTGACTTTCCCTTAATAGGTTATTCGTACCTCCAAACATTAGAAACTAGTACGAACGGACGTTCGAAGCAAAATGTAAGAGACACACGATTGACGTTGACACCGTTCTTTGGGCAGAACGAAACTTCTCAAACTACGCTCACACCGCTGTTTGGGCCTTAAAGAGTTAAACAGTTCACCGGGTTACAGAATTTTTAAAATTGGGCACAACTTTTGGAACGCACTATAATCAACTCTCACTACAAGGTCTTTGTGGCCCCAGTTCCCCTACATAAGAAAGAAATGAACAGAAAATTCCTTCCTTACCTTATACTGTTTACAAAGTGCTAACAATTCATAGTCATTCATTACAGCCATATCCTCCTGTATAAGATGAGGCAAAGCTCCCCGGTCCCTGTGGGATGGTTCCTGAAAAGATGAATGGAACAAACCTGATTTCTCCATCTCACAATCCTACCAGACAAACAGGTTCAGGGGTGAGACAAGTGACTTCACTGCATGGAGTTGTCTTCATACTTACCACATGGAAACATCTCACAAGGGAACAAACTCTGTTACTTGTGTGACGATCGGCATGGTCTCTTAAAAAAATTTCAAATCATAAATCGAATGAACACTGGCAACTAAGAATCTCTTTTATTAGCAGTTCTTCTTCTTCGATCCTTCTGTCAGAAAACTTATATCAGAAGGTCGGTAGCCTTTATGAAAGCTATCGTGCAGTCCATATCTTCTCGTGTACCATACAGTTGTGTCTTCATTGTGGTTGAAACAAGCCAGATTTAACAGTGAAACACCCCAAATCAGTCGCCTTTTATAATATGCTTTAGGCAGGAGGGGACAGTGAGTTCCCTTTCCCACCTCCCAGGCCGCAAAATGAGTCCTCGGAAACCATATATGGGAAAACCTGGATACAGAATTTGGCTGACTGAATGGGCCTCAAATATTCAGACATCAAGGTCACTGCAGGTGCCCTCCCTTTAATGTTATTTCCCCTGACTGAAAAAAAAAACAGTCCATAGTGTTCTCTCAAGTTCTCTAGTTGTTGCTCTTCAGAGACTGCTTATCTCTCCCAGTGACAAATATTCAGACTTTCAATTTAAAACATAACAAACCCACACTAAAAACATCACTAGCCCTACCAATACCTTAGCAATTTCTTTGGCCATTTTCTCCAGCTTGTCATCCGTGTACAGGTTTCGCAGCAGCAACGGATGATTGGCAGCTTTGCGAAACTGCATGAAAATGCCAACCCCACCAGTGGTCACTGTCTCCTCGTTGTCACCAATCTCTTGTGAATATTTTGCCACCAATCTGTCATACAACTCCTGCTGTACTGGGGTCAGCGTACATTTGACAATGTGTTCTACCTTCTTTGGCAAATGCTGCAGGACCTGTTGAAGATCAGTAAACAAATAAATATATTTACAGTGAAAAGATAGAAAACAAAACTTACAATCAATACAAATTAAGCCCAAGGGTAAGCTTATACTTCAGTTTGTACTATATTTTCTTCAGTAAATGCTGCAAAACCTGTTCAAGCAATTTACATAACAAAGTTACAATGAAAAGAAGGAAGTAAAAGCTGTCCTTCATACATGGTAGGCGTAAGGGTAAGTTTAACCTTAACTAGTGTGCAATTTCTTTAGTAACTGCTATACAGCCTTTTAATGCAGTTTACATAACAACATATTTATAATGAAAAAAGCTGGCGTAAATATTTGGTAGGCACATAACTTTAATTTGTAATTTCTTCAGTAACGGCCCCAGAACCTGTTCAACTGATATATAAGTCAGCATATTTACAGTCATATGGAAACAAAAGCTGTCAATATTATGTGGTTTGCATGAGGGTAAGTGTAAACACTTGACATATTTTTTTTTTTAAGACAGATGGTCCAGAGACAGAAAGCTGTAGTCAAACTTTCAGACCAACAGCCTGCAAACAGATTACAAAAATCAGAAGACAGCAGTCTGCAAATTATTAAAAGACAACATAGACTTACATCTCGCTTGAGCCTGCGTAGAACAAATGGCCTCATGATGCGTTTGGCTTGAGCAATTCTGTCCCTCTCAAAACGACTTTTCTGTTTGTCCTCTGACCTCTAAGAAAAAAATATATATAAAATAAGGAACCATTCTTGCAGCCAAGAAACAATTATTTACAATACAACAAACACAAAAACATTAATTAACAAGCATATATAAAAAACTGTAGACACACACACAGAGTGTAGAGGTGCTGAACCCCTTGTGGTGGTATATCAGGTGGGGGGCACATACTGGCATAGACTTATCTACACATTATCGCATAGAAACAGGTTCTCCCTACCAAGTACCTGGTCAGCCTCCAAAGGCAGACTGCATGTGTCTCAGCGACAAGAAACCAACAGTATGCACACAAAGAGCCAGCACTGTTTAAAAAAAATTTGCATGCTACACTCCTGTGATGCAACTTATTCCAAAAGCAGATGACAAACCAGGACTTTCCACTAAACTTTACAAATTCAATTTCCAAAAGTAGACAAAAAAACCAGGACTTTACACTAAACTTTACAAATTCAATTTCCAAAAGTAGACCCAAAAAAAACCAGGACTTTTCCGCAAGAGTTGGAGTTAGGTTTACAAGCTCACATTCCATAAGTAGTTGAAAAACCAGGATTTTCCACTAGAGTTGGAGAGTTTACAAGTTTACATTCCAAAAGTGAACAAACAACCAGGACTTTCCACCGGAGTTCACAAGTTCAAATTTCAAAAGTGGACAAACAACCAAGACTTTCCATCAGAGTTTACAGCATGTGAACACTAAAATGAAGCACAGATAAAAACTGTCACCTCAATTTACCAACTGGGAAGGGTGATCATGACTCTCCACAAGGTATCAGTCACATTCTGAAATCTCTTCATGCCATGGCACAAGAATGTCCAGTATCTTCTCTCATTGCCTCCCTTTTTCCTCTTCCAATAAAATCAACAATTTCTCCAACAGATTCTATTTTGGCTAGTGAAATGATGTGGCCTAAAATTGTGACTATTTCTAAATGATGTTTTTTTTTTTTTTTTTGTGTGTGTGAAACTATTTCCTCCTAGAGTCTGTAATAACTTTGTGTCTTGACCATTTTAACCCCCCCCCCCCCCCCCCCCCCCCCCCCCCCCCCCATTCACTTCAAAAAAATATGTTTTAAAACTAGCAACAATATGTGCAGAAGGCAAGAAGGATACATAAATAACATACATTTCCAAAAATAATATGAAGAAATGGAATCTGCAGCAAAGAAGCTGAGAAGGTTCACCAGAACTTACTGAAATCATAGCAAACACTTTCTTGAGGTGGTCGGTTTTACCCTGGAAAATCTCTGGCATGACAAAGCAAAGTAGAGACATCAGTTCCAGTAAATTGTTCTGTAGAGGTGTGCCAGTCAACAACAAACGACGCTCCGCCTAAAAATTTAAAAAATACCAAGTGCTAATGATGATTATGAAAAAATATCAATCAAAACGAGAAGGTGAACTAGTCTGCTTCACAAAACCGCAATCAAAAAAATAACAAAATGAACACTGTAGCCAGAAAGCCTTCATCATACACATGACAACACTGAACAATGATGCAATTACAAATCAGAATATATACAAATACTTATCTTGACAAAAAGGTCTATCATAAATATTCCTACTTCTGAACAGTAGGAGCTCCGAGTCACTTATCTTGCAGTAGCAAGATACTGGACAGGAAGTGACCCAGAGAGAAAGGATTGTAGGCAAGAGGTTATGACAGGGGATGTAACTCAAAACATTTAGATAAACTATACCAGACATTAATGCCTTTAGGATACAGGGAACCCATCAAACAACAAAGACAAGGTTTGTGGTCTGAACAAAGGATTAACATCATGGCACACGGGTAGTAATCCAAGTGTTCTTCTTCTAACTCAAGTCTGAGTCCGAAGAAGCTCAGCACAGTGCACAGGCTCTGTAGCACTGGCAAGGATCCTGAAATACTTTAGGTAGATTTTTAACTTCAAATTTTGTCCGGACAGTGACGTCAGGCTACTCTTTTTCGATTTCCAACTGCCAAGGGAGTTTTTACGTGTGCAAAAATGCGTCCGATCTCACTAACCAGAGACTAGGGGATATTTCTAGAAGTCCAAGTCCACGTGAAAAAATCCCGGCTATCCTCTTAATAACGGTCCCAAATTATCAAGGCCAAAAATATACCCTAACAGGGCCTCTGTCACATGTAAATTGGGGACTTCCGGCGACTACTGCCGCCGCCAAGACTATCTCCCACGGGACTAAACTAGATGGCTGGGACTCACGAGCAAATAAAATGAAGGAAGCTGCAGGAGATGCAGTATCTGCTGCTCGTGAGTCCCAGCCAGCTAGATTAGCCCCGCTCCATGCCGCGCATAGCGGCATGGGGTATACTCTGGGCGGTGGCGGTAGTCACAAGAAGTCCGCAATTAAAGTCGCAGGAAGTCCGCAATTTATATGTGACTGAGACAATAAATTCTAGGCAAGATATACCTCTTCTGCTGTTCTTTATCTTCCACTGAGGCATAACTTCTCAAATAAATAATGTAAAGCTTTAGATATGATTTATGGGATGGGACAGCCAATTCCAAGTCCAACCCTATCCTTCGTTGCCTCTTACAATGAAGGGGGGTGGGGTGTCTTTGTGGCAAAGTGGTCAAACCGTATGCGGCACCACAGTTCACAAGTGCAATTTTAACTGAGATCCCTAGGGGTCATCACCAGAGCTACGGAGCTGGTGCTCTGTGTGACGCTCTCAGCAGGCAGCTATCTGTTCTAAGGAGACACACTGGGCCATTTGGGATAAAACCTGGTGTAATGAAGTCAATCCTCTCACCATTATAATGACATGCTAAAGAAACGTCTCAACAAAGCTGAACTTACGGCAATTTTCATGAGATTCTGAAACCTTAGAGAGGACATGTTCTTCAGCATGTGGCCTTCGTCAAATACAGCATAGTGAAATTCAAACTTTTTAAACAAGACCCGGTCCTCAACACCGCCAGTTGCCATATTGTATCTGCAACAACAGGCACAAGAGAGAAATAAAAAAATCCTGGCAACTACTCCCAGCACATCAAATTAAAACATTTAGGGATATTAATAAAACAGTTGAAATATATCTGTCAGACAATTACGATGCTTCACAATCTGCATTAAAAACTTCTTTTTCTTCTTGCTGTTGCTTCTTCTTTAATGATGAAGTCTTAACCGTGGTTGGTAAATGTGTTAAAGCAGTTTCTCAACCAAGTACTAGGGTTCCATTTCCACAGTGGATGCTTTAATTTAAAAAAAAAAAAAAAGTTCTGTGAAATTTTGTGGCAGTTTCCATGAGCTGTCTTATGTCGTAGGGATGTTCGTTTTGAACGTTTTAAGCACATCCACTATCGATGAGAGCCACCACCAATGAGCATAAAAATACAAAAACATCAATGATGTGATACTCATAAACCCTCACACCTTCAGCACTTCCCCCTGCAGTACTTCTTCCTTGCACACACAGGCCTGAGACCTACTCACAACATATCCCAGAAACAACAGCTATTCAGAGAAAAGAGAGCTGCAAAAAAGAGAGCTGGGCATTTTTGATCTGGGACAGTGTGTCAACCACATGAAACGAACATGAGCCAGCTTTCCCGCAGGGTCTGTATAGATGGCGAAGGAAGGCCTTTTATAACACCCCTAGAACATAGGACAGCCCGTAGAAACTACCATGACATCTCGCAGCAAATGAGATGGGGTGACTTTCGTGAGCAGTACCCGGTCCTTTTACTTACAATCGATCTTCAGCAAGACACTCTTGTTACTGTTACTGAAGGTGACAGGTTCAAACCCCCAATCTTTATATCTAAAGGATCTCTAGCTGCAATGTGCATTGTTTGTGTAAGTGCGCTCTTTTCATTGTGTCAAAGGTTTATTTAGAATGTTAATATCAATTAACAACATTGATAAATGTGAGGAAAGAAAACTAAGAAGGAAATCCATTTTCTTTTTATTTGTCTGTGTGACGTAATTGCGTTGTGCCTGTTTACAGCAAGACTGCAATATTTGCACCTTTCAGACGAAACATCCAACCATTTGAAAAAGGGGTTAACTATCTTGGGACACAACGTAGCCTTATTTGTGCGATGTTCTCTCTGCCCCCTTATCTACAGATGCTGTCCCTGGAGAACCCCTGTAAACTGGTCAGCCCTCCAAGGGAGAAGGAAATGAAAATAAAACTTATACTTACGTTGTTAGTAAAACATTAAACTCCTCCCCCTGAAAGAATATGGAATGTCGTACTGCTCTCCGCTCCTCCTGAGATCCGTAGTAGACCACAATTTTCAGAGCAGGACACCAAAGCTGCAGCTCTCTCAGCCAGTTCTCTAGAAAACAGTTTGAAAACACTTGGGTCAAATACAGTTTTTGTCTTCTTCACCATTCCTTCTTTCTTCTGTTTCAGTTCTACAACCTCTGGCTATGTCTAAAAAAAAATAAGTATCTATGATTAATCAAATTTCTCCACAAAGATTGTTGGCTGTGGCCAACAACAACAACAAGCTCTGCTTGTAAATGAAATTGTTCTAAAGCACAAGCAATCTCAAGGCTGCCTGGCATGTTTTGTAGTCTGCATGTCACACTTCAGATAGTCAAAAAAAAGAATCTTCTATGGTGAACAACAAAGATCAATTGTATCAGATCTCACTACAGGTGTATAGCACTGATCATGATATCTGGGCAGACTCTGCATGTGACAGTTAGTCTTGGTGCTCATGTCTTTGTCCTGAAGTGGTGGCAATGGCAGTGCGGCCAGAACCACAGCAGTAGTTTCAACAAAATCAAACCAGGAAACTTTAGTGTGAAAAAAAAATCATTTTAAAAAACAAATCATATTATACAGGTCACTAATAATTGTATTGCAAATTAATTTTTTTACTATTTTTTTATTTCTAAAATATATTAGGATAAACAAAGAGGTAATCACTAAACAAGAAAAGAGTGAAGCATTAAATTCTTCTTCTTCTTCGCGTTCACCAACTGTAAACTCTGGTGGAAAGTTCTGGTTGTTCGTCCACTTTTGGACTGCAGTTCCAGAACCTGAGTGTTGCGTGTGCATCCGTTTGACAGATCTGACACATTTGAGTGTAGACTGTTGGTTCCTTGCCTCTCAGGCAGATGCACTCCGACTTCAAAGGAAGCTCCCAATTAGTCGACTCTTACGACATGCCTTTGGGCAGGCAGTGGGTCTATTCTTGTTTTCCCTATAATAGGGCCCCGGAACCCACACGGGGGTGAAGCATTAAATTGAATACATTCCCTGACGCCTAAATGAAAAAAAAACTTCTATCACTGAGGCATACGGGAAAGTCTGACATCAATTTGGCTTTAAAAAGTCAATGGGGTCATACTGAAAGCCCTAAATGGTATTTTAAGTTACTTTTTTCATGTCATGGCCTGTTAAACACTGCACAGGTGCACACACAGAACAAATGTAATTTAACTACACTTTTATAGAACAGGTCCCTGCAGACATAGATCAGCATTTATGGAAATGTGTCACAATCAGAAATTACCAGATTCAGTCTTCTCAGACGACAGAGTTAAGGACAGACACAGAAGAAATCCACTTGTAAACCAAAGTATGTGGCATCTAGAACTAACTTGAGAAAACAAGCTAAGATTCACATCTGCATCTTTCTTGTACAAAGTTTTACATGAAAAGAATTGATCACACTTACCTATCGTTGATGATGGGACAATAATGACATGAGGTCCTTCTTCACCTTCCTCCATCAAATGGGCCAAGAACGCAATGGCTTGAATTGTTTTACCTAAACCCTGTTTGAGAACAAATATGTTCAGCCAAAGTTGTTACCTGGTAATAAAACTAACCTCATTTCTTTCTGGGATAACCCACAGACAGAGGTTGTATAAATAGACCTCAGTTGTATTTTTTATTTCTAAGTATCCAGAAACCATGGGTTGTCAGCCCTTTGGCTCGGCACTATGGATACTGCAACCCATCGACTTTGATTCCTTGATAGATACAATAAATCTGGAAGAAATGTGGCATTTTTGCCAACATCCGGGCGTGAATCCGGACCACAAGGAGTTCGTCACAAGGAGTTTAGCACACAATTGCTGAACAGTCAGGTTTAGCCAACCACCTCAGTTGTTTAAACAAGCGTCATATATAACTTCTGAAGAAAAAACACTTTTAAGAATATAAAAACACCAAGCCATAAATTCAAATGTTCAAAATACAAAATGGATGCCCATACAGTCCTGGAACAAAGTCAAAGTCCACAAATTGACAGCTGCTGAATGCAAACAAACAAATGATGATAATGGTATGGAGTGTTGACTACTCAGTAGCAATTGCAAACTCGTCATCATCAACTGTCAGGTCCTTTGTAGAACGTCTTTCTCATCACAACACACCTGAAAGTCTCTCTTTCTCTAGCCAATTCTCCAGCCCTATGGGCTTTCACAACCAATGCATCTTACAAGGCATTTTTTTTATAAGGAGTAGAAAATTATAGGGAAGAGAAAAAGTTGGTAAGAAACAACAATTAATTTATGTTAGCTTTACAAAATCGATCACAATAAACAAACAAAGGACGTTGCGGCGATTAGCCTTCATCAGCACATAAAGGACAACACAGTACACATACACAAATAGGCTCTAACTATGAAGTGACTACATAGGACTCTGATATAGAATAAACGATACTCATCTAGTGTCCCTGGCGAAAAAACTTCAATGAAACGACGGTCAGCCTATATACCTCCAACGCGCAGGTAGGGGCAAAAAAAGGGACGGGTTGGACGCCAACAGCGTACACTGAGTGTCTAAGGAGGGAGGGGTTGGCCTATAGGGCGTAACCGGGGTTGGGTTGTGGGGATGACCTTAGTCCATCCGCATGGAATAAAAGTGGTGCCTGTGCTTGCAAACAAATATCGACAGACAGACAGACAGACAGACAGACAGCTAGATAGATGGATAGATAGATAGATAGATAGATAGATAGATAGATAGATAGATAGATAGATAGATAGATAGATAGATAGATAGATAGATAGATAGATAGATAGATAGATAGATAGATAGATAGATAGATAGATAGATAGATAGATAGATAGATAGATAGATAGATAGATAGATAGATAGATGCTTCTCTCTTACTGTCAGCTATCAAATAGAGACAGTAAGGATGCTTGTTATACAAAAGTAATCAGTCGAGCCCGAGAGTAAGACTGGTAACACCCAGAGTGTAAGGGAGCGATGAAGGGATAGATGGGAAAACAGTATGTGTGGATGATGGTGTGGATAGGCGAGTGTGTCCTGGATAGATGGGTGGGTAGATGAAAGGATGAGGCATAGAAGACCACCTTAGAGGTCTATCTCTGCCACACTTTCTGGAAACTACCCTCCATCACCGCTCTCTCCAGGCCACCATGGTTTAACATGGCCAAAATAGCTTAGCTTTCAGGACAGGGTGCTGTTAATGAGCCAATTCTCCTCATTGCTCAGATCATGCAGGATCTGTTTTGCTTCTTGGTTTATGGTAATCTTAGAAGTTTGCTGGAGCAAGCTGGTTAGTTACGTATTCTTTACAGGACGTTGCAGAACCAACCCCAACAGCCCCTGGCTGTTGTGTGTGTTTTCTAGGCAAATTTATGTCCAGTTGTTTGCCATCACTTTCTTGACGGTTGGCTTTCTTAATACGACTGTCGAAATCAACGCAAGGCGCATGGCCCGCAGCTGGGATCGAACCCGGCATCCCGGCATTATGAAGCGCCCGTATCAAATTAGCCACAGAGCGGACTGGAGCAAGCTACTGAGCGTAAAATTGTCTAGTAAAATCACGAACTCCTAACAAAGGCTGAGGTTGGTTTGTGACACACTGTAAGAGATATGCAACTAACTTTTTGTGCAAGCATAACATCCCACCAGACGCAAAGTTTAATATATATTAATGTATATAAACATAACATTCCACCAGATTAAATATATAATATATATTTAAGCATATAAATACAATATCCCACCATCTTCAGTGTTTCAAACTAGCTTTTAATCTGAATCTTATTACTTCATGGGTTTCAGCATTCAAGGCTCGTTATTTTTACATCTACAGATAATTTCACTTAGATGTTAAAGATCTGTTTAATTACTCCAACACATTATCACATCAGTTGTCAAAAATCTGTATGTGTATAAACATATCAACTCAGAAGCTGAAATATTAAACATCTCCTTTAAGTACCAAAACATACACTGTTATCATTTACAATGTTCAAGATGTGCTGCTGTCAGTCAGCACACAAACCTACCATCTCATCAGCCAGGATACCGTTCAACTTCTGCTCATGCATGATCCGCAGCCAGCTTAGTCCAATGAACTGATAAGGCTGGAGTTCTAATCTGAACAAGATCATTTACAAAGGTCAATTTTAGAACAACAATTTCCTAACATGTGACTGGTGCTAAACAAGCTATAAGAAAAACACTCGTCTATTCAGTTGACTAACATACATACATTACATACATTTAAATTCACAGCTGGAAATTATTTAATATAACCAATAACTAGGAAAGAAAGTTCACATGCTGTATAGAGCCAGTTTAAACAAAGGGCTGTGAATCCTGGATATGTAATAAACAAGCCAATTAATTTCTGGAGTTCTCAGAGATGTCGTTTTGCAGGAGAATCCTTAGAAATCATTGGACAGCCAAAAAAAGCAACCAAGATGTTTTGAAAGAGGCGAGGGCTCGAAGACAACTTATCACAAACATCAGAAAGAGACAGTGATTTGTAAAAAAAAAAAATTTTTGGGTCATGTTATGAGAAGGAAACTGAACATATGACCAAATGAAAAATCTTGGGGGGGGGGGGGGGGGGGGGGGGATAAACAGGAAGACCATGCAAGATGTTTCCCAACAAAAGAGAGATAAACAGGAAGACCATGCAAGATGTTTCCCAACAAAAGAGAGATAAACAGGAAGACCATGCAAGATGTTTCCCAACAAATTTCTGTCTTGGCATGCTTTTGAAGATCACAGACTGTGGAGAGGAATGATCGTGCAGGACAGTCAGCAAAGGCACTTTATGGTGTAACAACAACAACAACAGCTAACAAGTACAGGATAAATCCTTGCTTATTCAGTTTACAAACAAATGACTTCTGTAAGAAACAATGTCTGGATAAACTGTGAGAATCACTGACACTGCACACGGGTGTGTCTGTATTTCTCTTCTGGTCACACTGTATGCCCCCGCTAGAAGTAACTCAGCTCTCAGCACAAATCATAAAGCACTGGCAAGACCAGCATGTGGGTTAAAGGTTAAAGTTAAAGCCGAGAGAATCGACTTCATTCGACCAGGTTTTATTCGCATATGGCTCGGTCTCTCTCCGCAGAGTGGTTCGCTATCTGCCGACAGCGCTGTACAAAGCAGGCAACTCTATAGCTCAGGCGACACTCCTCTGTGATCTCCGTAAAAAAAAAAAAAAAAAGGCACTCATGAACAGAATGAGGCAGCAAACAAACCCACAACCTTCAGAACATAAGGCAAAAGGCTTGACGACCCCAATATGGTTGTGTGTCTGCACCAGAATCACACATCTAAATGTGTAATTTTGCCTTAAAAGTTTTCAAAATTCTTCTTCTAAAGAACTATTCTTGTAATCAAACACACTAACTGTTAAACCCCTCGCCATGTTGTTCTGTTTTGTTGTTGTTGCTTGGAATGATATTTGTTTTCTTCATTAATGCCTTCAACCCCCTACCATAAAAATGTGTATATGGTAAAGTTAAAGTTTCCACTATTGGCTTGCATATCCTGGGGTATATTACCTCTATTAACTGGTCTCTCTCTCTGTCTTCTATGTTACCTCTATTAACTGGTCTCTCTCTCTCTCTTCTATGTTACCTCTATTAACTGGTCTCTCTCTCTCTTCTATGTTACCTCTATTAACTGGTCTCTCTCTCTCTTCTATGTTACCTCTATTAACTGGTCTGTCTCTCTCTTCTAAGTTACCTCTATTAACTGGTCTCTCTCTCTCTCTTCTATGTTACCTCTATTAACTGGTCTCTCTCTCTATGTTACCTCTCTTAGCTGGTCTCTCCCTCTCTACTATGTTACCTCTCTTAACTGGTCTCTCTCTCTCTCTTTTGTTACCTCTCTTAACTGGTCTCTCTCTTTCCACTATGTTACATCTATTAACGGGTCTCTTTCTCTTCTATGTTACCTCTCTTAAGTGGTCTCTCCCTCTCTACTACGTTACCTCTCTTAACTGGTCTCTCTCAACTATGTTATCTCTTTTAACTGGTCTCTCTCAACTATGTTACCTCTCTTAAGTGGTCTCTCTCCTCTGTTACCTATCTTAACTGGTCTCTCTCTCTACTATGTTACCTCTCTTAACTGGTCTTTCTACTATGTTACCTCTCTTAACTGGTCTCTCACTCTCTCTCTACTATGTTACCTCTCTTAACTGCTCTCTACTATGTTACCTCTCTTAACTGCTCTCGACTATGTTACCTCTATTAACTGGTCTCTCTACTATTTTACCTCTCTTAAAGGATCTCTTCCTCCCTACCGTTACCTCTCCTAACTGGTCTCTCTCTCTCAACTATGTTACCTCTCTTAACTGGTCTCTCTCTTTCTCTCTCTATGCAGAACAGCCTGTTGCCTGCAGAAATGACACACAATACTCCAGGAACAACCCACAGGTATCTCTAAAATTGCTGCACTTACAAAACGGATCCAAACCCATAAGCATGTATGAGGCTAAAGATTTAACCACTCGGCCATGGAGACCCTATACAAGAACAAATTCTCCCAGTGTGGGATTCAGCGGCCTCAATCTGGTGAAAAGAAGATTAGACCCACTGCCTGCCCAAAAGCATGTCGTTAAGATTCGACTAACTGGGACCTTCCTTCGCAGTTGCAGTACATCTGCCCGAAAGGCAAGGAACCAACATCTCCATGCAAATGAGTAGGGCTGTGAAATGGATGTGCATGCAACACATAGTTTTCTGAAACAGGACTAGAGTCCAGAAGTTGACGAACAACCAGAGTTTACAGCCAGTGAACGAGGAGAAGAAGAAGAACAAGAAATTCAACCAGCTTACTCTTTATTCAGCAGCTCTGGCTGTTTAGTGATGCGCAACTCCTCTCCTCCACTGGCCCCATTTTGTTTGGTCAGGCGAGAAACAACTAGGCCCATCTGCTGTGATATACTTTCACACCGCACCATGAGTCGCCGGACGGTGTTTCGCACCTGCATGATTTCTTTACAACCAGAGATGAGAGATGTGGACAGCTGCTTTTCAGAGTTGAATTTCTGAATCTGAAACAGAAGATCAAACATTTAGCAACAGATGATGGCAGAAGTGCAATATGTAAATACCAAACAATAGAAGAAGATCAACAGAAGACCAACATTTAGCAACAGATGATGGCAGAAGTGCAATATGTAGTTACAAACAATAGAAGAAGAGCAACAGAAGACCAACATTTAGCAACAGATGATGGCAGAAGTGCAATATGTAGTTACAAACAAGAGAAGAAGAGCAACAGAAGACCAACATTTAGCAACAGATGATGGCAGAAGTGCAATATGTAGTTACAAACAATAGAAAAAGACCAACAGAAGACCAACATTTAGCAACAGATGATGGCAGAAGTGCAATATGTAGTTACCAACAATAGAAAAAGAGCAACAGAAGACCAACATTTAGCAACAGATGATAGCAGAAGTGCAATATGTAGTTACCAACAATAGAGGAAGAGCAACAGATGATGGCAGGTGCAATATGTAGTTACAAACAATAGAAGAAGAGCAACAGAAGACCAACATTTAGCAACAGATGATAGCAGAAGTGCAATATGTAGTTACCAACAATAGAAAAAGAGCAACAGATGATGGCAGAAAGTGCAATATGTAGTTACAAACAACAGAAGAAGAGCAACATTTAGCAACAGATGGCGATGGTAGCACTTCCTCTTTCACCACTTCAGATCAAGAGATGGTTCTGCTGCTTGCTCTCCTGGCCACCTTGACCATAGACTAACTGTGTTGCTGTAGACTTTCTCACATTGTATGTTGCTGTTTGCGTTCACTGGCTGTAAACTCTGACAGAAAGACCTGATTGTTCGTCCATTTCTGGACTTTGACTTTGTTATGGGACCTAAGTTTTGCATGGGCATCCATTTGACAGATCTTGCTATGTGTGTACAGACTTGGTTTCTTACCTCTCAGGCAGATGCACTCCAATTTTGAAGGAAGCTCCCAGTTAGTCGACTCTTATTTACGACATGCTTGTTGGGGAGGCAGTCGGTCTATTCTTGTTTTGCCCACAATGAGGCCCCAGAACAAACACAGGGATCAAACTGTATCTTTCTCATTTTGTTCTTGGTCTACCTTGTGCTCTACATTCTTATTTTCTTTTAAAGTATGTCTTGTATGGTATGGTGTAATAATGGTAGTACTGACTGACTTACTAGGCCAGTATTGTCTTCTTAATGGGCTGTACAAGGGTCATTTTTGCAGGACATGTTCTGTAGTCTGCACACACAGCGCACAGTGGTGAACTACTTAGATAGAGCCTGTGCAACTGACTGTTAAATTCGTTGTGTCCTGTCCTGAGGTGTAGAATAATGACCTGCCCAAGCCGGTCAAATAAGTGGCAAGACTGTTCACTTCTGATAAACAGGATGGCCATTTTCTTCTCATATTATGTTACTGTATTCTCTTCCTGTTCATACTCTGCACCTCTCTTAGCAAGTCTTTTTGCGGTTTTGTTTCCTGGTATACCACAGTGGGTAGCACCCACTGGTATACAGTATACTTTTGTGCATCCACCTTGCCAGTTTAGATCTAGGGTGAGGGAGTTTACAAATTTTAAGGGCTTGGAGCATGAATTGTGCATCTGTGAAAATGACTACTTGGTGGCAGTCAGAACTGGTGCTGTGTAACATTTCGGCAGCCTGCTCAATTGCTAGAATCTCTGCTGCATAATTGGAACAGAATTGACCAGTGGGTATATACTTTGTGAGGCGGTGGTTGTCTGAGTATGTGATGAAGACGCCAGCACCCCCATTTTTAACTGTACTGGTAAGCATGCTGATCCATCTGTGTAAGCATGCTGATCCATCTGTGTAAGCATGCTGATCCATCTGTGTAAGCATGCTGATCCATCTGTGTAAGCATGCTGATCCATCTGTATACGCATGCTGATCCATCTGTGTAAGCATGCTGATCCATCTGTGTAAGCATGCTGATCCATCTGTGTAAGCATGCTGATCCATCTGTGTAAGCATGCTGATCCATCTGTGTAAGCATGCTGATCCATCTGTGTAAGCATGCTGATCCATCTGTGTAAGCATGCTGATCCATCTGTGTAAGCATGCTGATCCATCTGTATACGCATGCTGATCCATCTGTGTAAGCATGCTGATCCATCTGTGTAAGCATGCTGATCCATTTGTATACGCATGCTGATCCATCTGTGTAAGCATGCTGATCCATCTGTGTAAGCATGCTGATCCATCTGTGTAAGCATGCTGATCCATCTGTGTAAGCATGCTGATCCATCTGTGTAAGCATATATTCACGACGGTTCAGGATAGTGTTCGTGGACCATGCTAAACAAACATTAGCAAATATTGCCATACAGAGAAGAGAATTAAATTGTGTGGGATAATCACAAAGGTGGAGCTTTGGGAGAGAATAATTTCCAGTGGTGTGGTGTTGGCAATGAATAGAACACACACTAAGACACCCTGATAAGGTCCCTGCACCGGAAATCAAAAAGTAAAAAAAAAATTTAAAAAAAATAAATGCAAATTGTTTTTAAATGCATGGAGTGTGGAATCAGAGACGTGAAGAGGACGTGGAATGAGCAGCACACTAGAGAAGGATATGATGACCTGGCGCCTGTTGGTTAAGAGCCTATATTTCAATGGGAGATAAAAGGTAGAACAAAAACAAACATGCTAATGCACACTTATACATACTAGATTTTCCCAAGTTTTAAATGGTCGAAGTCCCATGATAACTTCAGCTTTCTTCTTGGAGCAGCCAGGCATGGCTGTGAGCTCCTCTACTGTGGCCTCCTCAAAAAACTGCAGGTAGTTGTCTGTCTCGGATTTACTTCTGCTGCCTAGATCCTGGGGTGTCATCAGAAAATTAGTTTATGCTGAGTGTTATTTCAAGCCAAAACCCTGGACAGCCAAAATGAGCGACCAAAGGGTTTTCAAAGAGGCAGGAGCCCGAAGACAACTTATCACAGACATCAGAAGGAGACAGTCATCATTTTTCCGCCATGTTATGAGAAGAGGGAAAATAGAACATGTTGTGACCACTGGAAAGATCTGTGAAAGGAGGGATAGAGGAAGACAACGAGAGAAGATTCTGGACAGTCTTATTGCATGGCATGGAGGTGTGTCAGCACATGAAACTGATACATGCTGCAGGAGATCGCAGATTGTGGAGTGGCATGATTGCCCACGCTAGTTGGCAAGGCACCTGATGATGATGATATTTAAAACACAATTTTAAATTTTGATAATATTCAATGTATCAATCTGTTAGTCTATACTCCTACTTACCTGCCAACCTAACTAACACATCTTCCTCCCCCCCCCCCCTTTTTTTTTAAACTACCTGCTTGCTCAGTCAATGCATTTATTCCTTTATTTATCCATCCGTCCATCTACACACTCAAGCTAAATGAATTAAACATGCAGGATGCATCAAACAAGATTACAGTGAAAGTAGAAGAAGACCGACTATTAGCCATGCCTGCAACACCTTACGCCATTAAGCAGAAAAAGACTTTATATAGAAGTAGAAGGACTGAATCTAAGATGGGGCTTTCCATTTGTGACCCTTTGAAAATAAACTCTGTTCATTTGCTCAATAAAATTTGCTTATGGTAACTTTGCAATTTTATTTTCAAGGATGTGGCAGCTTTCTCTCTGTATGTCTCCACCACCCTCTACCTAATTTTACCTCCCTCGCTGTCCATTTCTACCTCCCTCTCTGTCTGTCCCACCTCACTCTCTGTCTGTCCCACCTCCCTCTCTGTCTGTCCCACCTCCCTCTCTGTCTGTCCCACCTCCCTCTCTGGCTGCCTAAATCTCCCTCCTCTACATCTCACTGTGTGCGCCCCCCCCCCCCACCTGTCTACATAAGGGCTGTTTATCTGGTGATATACGGGTCGAATCTGGCCTGCCGATACACAGCAAGTGGTCCATGGATCACGTGGAAAATTTCATTATTTAAACTCTACCAGACAGCTGGCCTGCTATTATGGGAATTTCCTAATCTTCCGCTAAACCGCTGTCCCTCAATGTCGGGAATTTGCATACTATGAGAAAACAATGCGTCACAAACTAAAAAATAACTAGCCAATCGTAATCAGACTACGTGGTTAGTCATTGCGAATTGCTGCCCACGTGTGTCTGGATTTCCTTTGTGTTGTTTGACGTGAAAAAATTCTGAAAATTCACAATAAAACGAGCGGCTGATGAACCAGGCACTTCGACAGGAAAGTGAGTAGGTCTAGGCTTTTCACAGTCCAACAGGTGATCGATACTTTGGTTGATTTAGACTCTAATGAGTCAGAATTTCTGTGAATAAGTTCCTAGTTGAAGTGAAAGAGTCAGTGTGAGCTCGAGTGAAACAATGCCGATCTTTCTGGGTGGATTTGCACACAAAGGTGGAATATTGGCGCTAAATGAAAGGTAAACCTATTTTCTACAATGTCTCTAAGTTTCAACTTATTCTAACCACTTGTTTGCATGTAACTGATATTTTTGTATATCATGTTGGTTTTTTCGTGCTGATGCCCAGGAGCTCAGGTATAGGGGGCAGTTAGGTTCAGGGCCTCAGGTCTGGTAGGGTTAATGATCTTTCCATTCTTCACAGATCTAGGTCACTTTATACAGACTGCTGGTTCCTTGCCTCTCGGGCAGAGGAACTCTGACTTCGAAGGATGCTCCCAATTAGTTGACTCCTATGACATATTTGATTGGGGAGGCAGTGAGTCTAAACTTGTAAACCCCCCCTCCCCCCCACAACAGGGCCCCGGAAAACATATAAATGACAAAGTTGTGTAACAATACCAGTTGTACAGTAACTGAAAGTAACAAACTGATACAAACCTCACTGTCATCACTGTCGCCACTGACATCATACTCCTCATAGTCATCATCATCATCATCACTGATTTCAATCACTTTTTCCTTTTTCTTTTTCACTGCAACAACAAACAAATCACAAAATTAAAGATGAAGAGAACAATAAAGTAACCGTTGGGGTATGGCAACAGCAGCAAACTCCTGCAAACAGCTGGATTTATGACTGGTTTCTTTATCACACTTCCTCTCTTTTTGTCCTCAAAGACTGACTGGCACACTGGTCTAAGCTGGTCTGGGTTTTTCGGTTCAATACATCTGCTTTCACCAAACACCTAACTTCCCTTTAGGACACGCTTGCTAAGAAGCAGTAGGTCTTTACCTCCCCCTCCCCCCCCCACCACCACATTAAAATAAATGTGGGCCCTGTAACCAACACAGAGATGTCTACACTTCTAAGCATTGAAAACTAATCATAAAAGAAGACCCAGGACGAGTAAAAAGAACAATAATGGAAGAAAGAAAATTCATCATTATGTTCTCACGCTGATGAGCTCTGATAGTCATGGTTCGCCACCTGACACTCTCACAAAAGTCTCAAATAAGGACCATGTTCTTGTCCAGATTACGCCGACTGACTAAACCATCCTTCTTCTTCTTCTTATTCACCTGAGGTAAACTTTGGTGGAAAAGTTACAGTCGTTCATCCACCGGTGGACTTTGGTAGTTATGCATGTGCATCCACTTTACAGATCTGGCTGTTATGTAGACTGTTGGTTCCTCGTCTCTCAGGTAGATGCACTCTGAGTTTGAAAGAAACACTCTTTGATTAGTAGACATTTAGGACATGCTTGGTGGGTGGGAAAAGTATATTCTTTTGGTTTTCCATGATGGAGCCATGGAACCAGCACAAACAGCCAAGCCATCCAAGTATTTAGCTTTTTGTCAACAAAATGGTGGGAAGAAACGAAAAAATCCTAAACACCGTTAACAAGAACTTACAAAAAAACATCCACATTAACTACATTTGTATTGAGAGATGTACAAACTATGCATGACAATAAAAAAAACGTCCTTTGCTTGTTGTATTACAGTTGTAACAACATGACTGATCTATAATGTACAACATGTAAAACAGCTTGAGGCACTCCTTGAAACATCCTTGTGGGCACACACACCCCCTCCCACCCACCCCCAGGTTGAAGACCACAGGTTTAGACACTGGCTTTCCCATGTGGGTTCCAGGGCTCTATTATAGGGAAAACAAGTATAGATCCACTGCCTACCAAAAGCATGTCGTAAGAGTCGACTAATTGGGAGCTTCCTTCGAAATCGGAGTGCCTCTGCCGGAGAGGCAAGGAACCAGCAGTCTGCCTACAAATGAGTCAGATCTGTAAAGCGGATGCACACGCAAAACTCAGGTTCTGGAACAGGACTGAAGTCCAAAAGTGGATGAACAACCAGAACTTTCCGCCAGAGTTTACAGTTGGTGAACATGAAGTAGAAGAAGAAGACATTGTCTTTAGCAATATACTTTTTTAAACATAGAAGACACACCAACTGATTGCACAATTTATTGCCTGCCATATTTTGCTGCATCTTAAAAGGTGCATACAACAGTAACTACAATTTGTGTCTTTCATGTTCAAATTTACAAAGAGGAAATGTACTTAATCTCAACTTTCACCAGAACTGTAGAAACCTACCTTTGGATGCAGCAACTTGGGGTTTCAGGGCTGAGTTGGACTTTCCTGGTTTCGTGTCCGAGCTTGGCCCAGCTGTCTTCTTACTTAGAGACTCCGCTAGCTTACTATCACTGCTACCCTCCTCTGACAAAGAGGCAACAGCCATCTGTGTGTCTCCGTCATTTGCAGCCAGGGCTGCTTTCAGGTCCTGCATGTAATAGGGACCAACTATGTGTGAATATATGGATGGACAAAGAAATAAATGGATGACTCATGTATGGATGGACAAAGAAATAAATGGATGACTCATGTATGGATGGACAAAGAAATAAATGGGTGACTCATGTATGGATAGATGAAGAAATAAATGGATGACTCATGTATGGATGGACAAAGAAATAAATGGGTGACTCAAGTATGGACAGATGAAGAAATAAATGGGTGACTCATGTATGGATGGACAAAGAAATAAATGGGTGACATGTATGGATAGATGAAGAAATAAATGGATGACTCATGTATGGATGGACAAAGAAATAAATGGGTGACATGTATGGATAGATGAAGAAATAAATGGATGACTCATATATGGATGGACAAAGAAATAAATGGATGACTCATGTATGGATGGACAAAGAAATAAATGGGTGACTCAAGTTTGGATAGATGAAATAAATGGGTGATCCAAGTATGAACAAATGAAGTAATAAATGGATGACTCAAGTATGGACAGATGAAGAAATAAATGGATGACAAGTATGGAAAGATGAAATAAATGGGTGATCCAAGTTTGGACAGAAGAAGAAATCATTGGGTGACTCAAGTATGGATAGATGAAGAAATAAATGGGTGACTCAAGTATGGATAAATCGAAAGAAATAAATGGGTGACTCAAGTATGGATAAATGAAGAAATAAATGGATGATCCAAGTATGGATAGATGAATAAAAAAAATGGGTGATCCAAGTTTGGACAGATGAATAAAAAAAATGGGTGATCCAAGTTTGGACAGATGAAATCATTGGGTGACTCAAGCATGGATAAAAAGTATGGACAGATGAAGAAATAAATGGATGACAAGTATGGAAAGATGAAATAAATGGGTGATCCAAGTTTGGACAGAAGAAGAAATCATTGGGTGACTCGAAGTATGGATAAATGAAGAAATAAATGGGTGAATAAAGTATGGATAGATGAAGAAATAAATGGGTGACTAAAGTATGGATAAATGAAGAAATAAATGGGTGACCAAAAGATGGGCAGATGAAGCAATGAATGGATGACCAAAAGAATAAGTGGGTGACTGAATATATGGATAGAGTGAAGTATTGATGGAAGAAGAAGTAAAAGGATGACTGAATATATAAGTGGATGAATACATTGATGAACAAGTAGGTTTATTAAGGGATGTTTGAAGTGGAGACTGAACATATCAAAGAAATGATGAATGGCAGAGCGATTTAATAAAATGGACAGAAAGACTTAATAGGTAAGTTTTGCAAATTAATGAACAGAAGAATTCACGTACGTTTTCCAGTAAAAATGTGATCAAACGCGATGAAAATGCATATCAGAATACGTTTAAAAAAGTACCCTTATTTTAAACTAGGAAAAAGTGCTGTTGCTCACTACAAAGTGTTTATTAAAAAAAAAAAAATTTTTAAAGTTCCAGTACTCACCACCAACGTCTTATAGTAGCATTAAAAAACACTATGTCTTAAAACAAACAAAAAAATAAACCAGAGGTGCCTGTGCTGTGTACCATCAAGAAAAAGCCCATTGAGTTAACAGAATACTTTTTTTTAGCTCTGTGGCATAGAGGTTAGTGTAAAGGTTTCACAATCCAATCCTTGACATGCCAGGGTTTGTTTCCCCAGTGGAAAATTTGAAAAAAAAAAAAAAATGTTTTCACACAGCATTTAGACAATGGCAGTGCAATAACTGTGATGACCTCATACTGAACCTGTGGGATGTCTTTGAGTCTGAGGATTTAGAGATGTATGGCTAGTGCTGTCACCATGGACTGCACAGGTTAGGATTTTATCCCACAAAGCAAAATTCCCAATCTCACAGAGGATTCGAACCAGGGTCTCACGCCTGAGAGTCCAGCCTCTCACCCCTCTAGAGTGTTGATTACTAAAACAATAATGTACACAGAGTATGATAAAAGAACACATATTAACCCAAAGCCGATGCAACAGAGTGTCACTGATAACACACAAATCCATTACCTCCACAGATTTTGCTGGAAAACACCCTCTTAAAAAGTCCAGACCTTTCTGGAAGGCATCTGAGTTAGAATCGGCTGTCTTTGTTTTTGACGATCTGGACTCGCTGAGAAAATCAACGGAAACCACTCTGGTCGGAGAGGGGGACTCTGGGATTGTTTTAATCCTCTTGTAGACGGCGGTGACCTGCGGCATGTCATCATCGGAATCACTTATTGGAGCAGGGCGCTTTTCTATAAAAATCAATATTTTAAGTCAGAAATATATTAATTATTTTTAGAAAGTCTTCAAAAATACATAATAAAAGTAATAGTCAAAGAAGAATAGTAAAGTAACATAAAACTAGTTACTCCATGTGTGTATACTTGGACTTCACATCAGGGCCAAGGAGAAATCTTTATCGTCCGTGTGTTGAAATCCTGAAAATAGTTATACGAGTTCCCCGTGTGGGTTCCGAGGCCCCACTGTGGGGAAAACAAGAATAGACCCACTGCCTACTCAAAAGCATGTTGTACGAGTCGACTAAATGGAAGCTTCCTTCGACGTCAGAGTGCATCTGCCTGCGAGGCAAGGAACCAACAGTCTGCATTCAAGTAAATCAGATCTGTCAAACTTGTGCGCACACAACATTCAGGTTCTGAAGCATGGCTGCAGCCCAAAAGTGGACCAACAACCAGAACAGAACTTTCCGTCGGAGTTTACTGCTGGTAAACACTAAGAAGAAGAAGCTATATGAGGAGTTTCAAATGAAAACCTTTAAAGTGTGACAGAAGTTACAAAAACCCGACCACTGTGGTCAATACTGTTGTTCATGACCAGGCCAGACACAAGACTGTTACAGAAGTCATGCCGTTCTGAAACTTCCTATTCGACGCACACACACTTGCTACATTGACAGGCATGTACAGCCATTCTGCAGTCATTCACTGGTGAATGGCCACAGGTTTCACCCCTTCACTGATTTTTAAAAAGGGATACCAGAATGCTGCTCCTTTTTGATAAAAATTGTGGTGGCCAACTTTAAACTGTCATGATATCACTGTTTTTGTGTCCACTGTGATGTTATGTGCTTAACACTCCTGACATCCTTAAGAAGTGACAGGTCACAAGATAGTGGTATGGATTTTGTAATTTCTATCATACTTTTAAAGCTTCCCCCATAGGTACACATGAATCTCCCTGTGTGGGTTCCAGGGTCCCACTGTGGGGAAAAAGAACAGACCAACTGCATTCCCCACCCCCCCTTCCCAAACAAGCTCGTCGTAAAAAAAGTAAAAAAGTAAAGTTCTCTTTTCACGCCTTTCGGCGCATCGGGCATATGGGCAGAATGTCCCATATTTTTACAGACCATCAGCACTCTGTGGGTAATGTGGTCAGCATTACGCCGGCTGTCTTTACTTTCCCAGGACAGCCCATCCTGGTACCCATTTTAGGCTGGGTCGACCTGCGACGTCCCATACCATGACAAAAATCCAACCAGCCTGCAGTGGGTTTCGATCGCGGTATGCTGGCTTACGAGTCATACTCGCAACGCCTTAGCCACGGACGCCGCAAGCTCGTCGTAGGAGTCAACTAATTGGGGACTTCCTTCGAAGTCAGAGTGCATCTACCAAAGCAGCAAGAAACAACCAACTACACAACCGGTGAACAGTGAAGAAGTAGAAGAGTACAGACAGAGTCAAGCAAACAGCAGAACATGTGTAAAGGTGTGCTGGGCACTCTGTGGCAGATAATATGATGATTGATGATGATTGGCACCTTTCTATCTTTCCAGGCGATAGTGTTATATTGCGCTATGAGGAGGCATGAGACTCGCAGCAAATAGCGATGGCGAGTATGACTATCAAGATCCACCTGTGTCAAGAAAAGTCTTCCACAATGATAGCATGGGATTTCAGGACCACTGTTGTCGACATTTGTGTTTAATCCGTTTCTTCTCAGATGCTCAGCTCTCATCCTTTCTGCAATCATTTCTTCCTTTACTCTCATTCCTTCCGGATATGCCCTTTCCACACAACACGGTCCAAGGCATTTCTTTTTCCGAGACTAATTTACGGCCAGGGATGAAGTTAAATCTTCTCCATAGCACCAAGCCTCGGCAGTATTGTAGACACCATAGGTTGCCCATGCATCATGATCCCCCAGTCGACCCTTGCCCACTCAAAAGACGCGGCCCAACATTCGGTGTATGGTAACAAATTCTTCCTGTGGAATATACTACCTCCCTTAGATTAGGATAGGACTACTTGGAGGATTCTGGGAGCATCCTTTCCACATCACTGTTAAGAGTGTAAGGACTGGGATTAAAGATCGGCACAAGTCAAGCATGAAAGGCACATCAGGCATGCATGAATCAGAGCTTCACTGTAGGAGGAAAGAAAAAAACAGACCTACTTCACCCTAACTATTATGTCGTAAACGTCAACTAACCGGTGGCGCTTCATTTAAACTGGGAGTGCATCTGCCTGAGAAGCAAGGAATCAACAGTCTCTTTACAAATTAGACAGATCTGTAAAACGAATGTGCAAGCAACACTCACGTTCTGGAACAAGACTCAAGTCCAGATGTGGACAAACAACAAGGGCTTTCCCCTGGAGCTTACAGCCATAGAACACAAAGTAGAAGAAGATGCCTAAAGCATTGTTAACTACCAGAGGACCGGCCCCAATAACAGCGGGACGCTGATGTATATTTTGAAGGAGTTTGTGAGCATAAAGACACGTCTGGAGTGCCACAAAGATATCATTATCACCCTGTGTGTGCCGTTAGAAGTCACACGGGGCTCATATTTGATTCATTCACTCCGCTCTTTTGCCTGCAACTCTCTTGATTTCTGACATGGAGTTCAGCCCAGAATTATTTGCCTCTTATAATAATGTTCTTCTCAATGCTTCTTGCACTTCCTCTTGTTCGCAGGCCGTTTCCCACTGCAGTGCCTGTTTTGTAAATCTTTGCTTTATCTCAGAGTATGCCCAATACGTCCCCAACTTCTTTACCTCATTGCAGTCTATACAGGTATTTGTCCAGACATTTCTCTCATCTTCATACTTTTTGAATTCTTCCCATTTTTATGTTCATGACAATTATTTTCAAATGCATTTAACTTTGATTCCATATCTTTGGTGGTGTTCCAACTTTCGCTGGCATAAAGATAACCAAGCTCATAACTCACCCCCCTGCTTTGACTGTTCCGAGGTCATGAACTGTACTGCCTTCTGGAAATCCCTGGGGTAGACTATCAGGGCAGCTCTGATCCTGTTCTCACTGCTTCCTGGAAACATTTCTCGGAGCCGCTGGAAATCTTCTTGATTCACCTGGTCGTCTGTTGCTCTGGATGAGGAATCATTCTGTGACTTGTGAACTGGGTTAAACCTTCCAGAAAATATCAAAAGCTGCAAGTCAAACAGATGCCAAGAACCACACACATTAAAACAAAAAGAAAAATTTACAATCCTCAACAACCCTTTACACTGAGAAGCCTAAATCTAGTCATTTCTGGTTGTGGCATCAACAACCCTTTATATGTGAGAAGCCTAAATCTAGTCACTTCTGGTTATGGCATCATTAACCCTTTATATGTGAGAAGCTTAAATCTAGCCATTTCTGGTTGTGGCATCATTAACCCTTTATATGTGAGAAGCTTAAATCTAGTTATTTCTGGCTGTGGCATCATTAACCCTTTATATGTGAGAAGCCTAAATCTAGTCATTTCTGGCTTACAGCATCATTAACCCTTTATATGTGAGAAGCTTAAATCTAGTCACTTCTGGTTGTGGCATCATTAACTCTTTACATGTGAGAAGCCTAAATCTAGTCACTTCTGGTTGTAGGCATCATTAACCCTTTACATTTGAGAAGCTTAAATCTAGTCACTTCTGGCTGTGGCATCATTAACCCTTTACATGGGAGGTTCACTGCCACATCTTTTTTAGCATTCACAGAACAAAAGGGTTAAGCCTAGGTGCAGCTGGCACCCTTAGTAAAGCAAAGAATAATATTCCTGAACCATATCAGCACACTTTTTGACCTGATCCTTCTGTGTGCATCCTCAAAAGGGCATTGACCTTTTCGTCCAGCACATCTAATTTCAGCAAACACTGAGTTAGTCACCTTGAACAACTTGCTTGCTGGGGGTAGGGGACCCCGAAAGGGTTTATTCTGTGTTCATCCTTTGAAGGGCAGTTTACACACTCTGCTGTGGTTGACAGCAAGACTGTGATATATGAACCACGCAGCACAACCTACCTGTTTTCAGTAAACCGTTTCTTTTGCTTTTGTCCCTAACTCTTTCCGTCCCAGGGTGGTATAGCATCAGAAGCCCAAAGGATAGTAAAGCGAGACATAAAATCAGTACATTTTTCGTTCCTTAGGCTTCTGGGTAGAAACCTATGAATGCATGATGTGTTCCATGGGACTGAAAGAGTTAAAATGCAGTTGGCATGCTGTGTTGTGGCAAGCTAAGCTGCAATATCTGCACCTATTGACCCAACAAGAGATTCTCCATAAACCCTAACTAGCTGTCTTTTAGGACATGCTTAATAGAGGGCACTGAGCTATTTCTTGTATCCCAAAGATGGGGTCCTGGATGCCGCACAGTGAGACTTCTTAGATCTCGCAACAAACCTGCAAGTACTGTACATTAACAATCCATGACCATATGAAAATCCCCAAGCATTGGATACTAAGCCACTGCTGTGGCAAAGAAAATCTGGCTACAGGTAGACAGTAAGTCCTCTAAGAGCTTATCAATACCTGCGAATGCATTCTCAATGACAAGTAAATAATTATGTTTTATTTTACTGTTATTTACACACTATAAAAAAATGTTTTTTCACTGCTTTAAATATTGTTAACAACTAAGAGATGCAGCTAATCTTTCTTCTTCTTTATTTTTTGTCCAGAGATTTTCAGTTTTTATGAAGGTGTTTTCAATTTTCCAAGGTAGTCATGCGAAAAGTTTGGAATAAATATGTGTGTCCATGTATAACGGTAAACAAACACTTCAAATGTCCTAGTTTGCTCTCAATTTGGATTTTCTGGCAAAAATGTACACATTCCAAAGTTTGTCACCTTTTTTTCCCCCATTTTGACAAGTTTCTTTTACAACCCTACAATTCTTAATTCATGCCTGGATTGTTCCCCACTTTCAAGGTGCTCTACAACTTCTGAACAACCTTACCCTGCAGTGCTGCAATTACTAGCTCCATTGGCGTTCTGTGGTTTACCTCGTCCCCCAGGAGGACTGGTGGAGTTCCCTGTGATCACTGTATCTTGTTTCTGGCTTGTATGTGACTTAAACACAGGACTAGATGGGCTGCTGGTGACAGGTCTTTGGGAAGTGTTGTTCTTGTCTGCTGGAGCTTTAGCATTTTGACTAAAGGAAGGAGAAACTGTGTTCTGGCTACTGATTACTGTAGCCTGACTATCAACACTGTGCTGACTTGTTTCGGAGCACTTCTGGCTGCTGTAGAGAACTGTAGCTTGACTATCATTGGAGTTGGCACTGTTTTCTGTGGAGAGAAAGAATGATAGGCTCTTGAGACTACAGTTGAGAAAAAGCACCGTCAATAAAGACAACTCAGTAGTACACATTAGTAATATACATTTTGCAAAGTAAATGACGACCTGGTTAGTCTAAGACTTCTGTGGTAAGAAATTTGGTGAAAAACAATGCCTCTGGGAGTCATGTATTTCTGTTGAAAGGATTAAATTTTTGTTTCAGTTGCCGTGTAATTCTGTAAGACATAAACTATAAACTGTTATTTACATAAACTAAATAAAGCATGCTGTTCCATGCCCTCAAGAGTACTGGGCACATAGGGCTAGGATTATTTTTTTTAAAGACCAATCAGCAATCAGTGGGTAATGGGGGTAAACATCATGTCGGCTGCCTGTACTTTCCAGGATTTACCTGGTACCATTTTAGTGATGTGTCAACCTGGAAGCCTAAGTCATTTTTGGAGAAAGAAAAAAGTCCAGCTCAATTCGGATTTGAACACATGACCTTTGGATCTGCAGGTGAGCATCTGGCAGCTGCACCATGGCAGCTTAACTGTATAAACTTTACTTTCTATTATATAGTGTTACAACTAGGTGGTACAAGGAATTTTCAAGGTTTTTCAAGGTATTATCAATGCAGTGTTGTTTTTTCCCAAGGTAGGTATATAACAAATTTGGTATGCAGTAAATAGCTAAGAACAAGTAATGCAATTATTCTTTTTCTTCGCGTTCACCGGCTGTAAACTCTGACGGAAAGATTCTGATAAGTCGCCTACTTGTGGATTCGAGTGTTGCACGCACATCTGCTTTACAGATATGACTCATCTTTTGTAGACTGTCAGTTCCTTGCCTATTGGGCAGTTGCACTCTTGACTTCAAAGCAAGCTCCCAATTAATCAACTCGCAACCTGGTTATCACTTTTGATTGAAGCCTGTCCTACAGGAATCACGTAGAGGTAGTTGTGGTGAAATGCCAAAAAGGACTCAGTGCTCTCAAGATTATGGCAGCAATGGACATGGTACACAATGTTTCAGCATGTGATCCTGTCGGGGATAGATTATGGACTTGGTATGCTTACCAAATCAAAGAGTCAGCTGATGAAACTTGAACGCATACAGAATGAAACCATGAGGTAATTCGGGGATGTACAAGAGATACCCCGGTAGTATGTATGTGATATATACTTGCACTGCCTATTATTGCAGATAAGCTCAAGGCTCTGCAGGCAAAGTCATATCTCAGAGTAGCTGCAGACAAGAGGCACCTCCTGCATGAAGCCCTGGGTAGAGCTAAGGGTCACAGACTGAAAAGAGGAAGATCTTGGATGGCGCAATCAGACATGTGTGCAGGCTTGGTAATTTTGAGCGACGAGGCGAGTGGGCCAAGGTGTCCGAACAAGTTTCGGACCTGTGTATGGTTCTAATCACGTTAGGTTGTGTGTGCAGAGACCTGCCAGCTGGTGCTGCAGAATCAGAAGTTCAACAAATGGTTCATGACAATTCCCGTTTAAGTGTTTATCTATACAGATTGCTTTGTGTTGAGGGGCAGACGAAGTGCATGGGATTTCATAGAAAAGGCGAATGGATGTCGCCTAGTACAGCAGAGCCTTGCATATGATATCACAACGTCTAGTTTGAGAATGGATGTGGAGGCAGTCTCTGCTGCCGTCCGCTGGCTTGAGAATCAGGTGCATACACATGCCATGATTGTAACTGACTGACAGAGCATATCGAGATAAGTGAAAACAGGCATGCTTCGTGCAGAGTGGCAAGCATCACTTCAGAGGTCCCAGGAAGTTAGCATCCTTTGGATATTTTCTCCAGGTTATGCCAGTGTGTTAGGAAATGAGCAAGTAGATAGACTGGCTGGCTCTTCACCACTTGGTGGTGAATTGATGCATGACAACTGATGCATGACAAGTCAGACATTGTGAGGGCCCTTTGGGAGCAAGTAAACAGTGAGGAGGCGCAAATAGATCATTACAGTCTAAGGAGAATGGCACTGCAAGGAGTTACCAGGCCGACGCTCAACACTCAGGGGAATGATGAGAGGAATATACAATCAGACGGTTACTAGTACCATCGGAGTTGGAATTCTTCGCTTGCTGCTGAAGATGGGGGCTGAGCACATATGGGAGTGTCCTGAGTGCTGTGATGTTGATTCTGAATTCAACACTCAACATTTAGTTGACTCTTAGACATGCTTTTTTTGTGTGGGCAGTGGGTCTCTTTTTGGTTTTTTTTCCACAACACGGCCACAGAACCCACACAGGGAAGTACTGTAAATAAAGGATTCCATCTAATGCCATGGCGTATTATAGGTATATGGTGCCAGCAACATATGTTTAGATCAACTGACTGGCACACAGCGGGTGATGTGGTCAACATCATGCTAGCCACCTTGACTTCCCAGGTAATTTCCTGGTACCTATTTGAGGTAAGGTGAAGATAAACCTGTCTATAGTTAAGCACCTGCAAGTAAATCAAAGCCAACATTTTGACACATGCATCTTCCCTGCAGCAACATAAGGATGTGAGTCATGGACTATCTCACAGTCCTTAGGAAAATAATGGAAGCTTTTGAGCTGAAATACTACAGAAAGACTCCCAGAATACCATGGCTATAGAAGAACAGAAATAATGATATGAAGGATCTGAATATTAAGGAAGATTGACTAGTAAACAGCATTTGGCCCTGAAAATGAAATACTTAGGCCATATCAAGCGGCGCCACAGTTTGGAAAAAAAATAGTAGCAGAAAGCCTGGTACCAGGAAAGAGGGGCAAGGACCAACCAGCACAGAGATGAGCACAGGATATAAGTAATGAATTGGATAGGAAAGTGCACGAGGCGGGAGAGCTGGCAAGAGGCAGAGTTTCTTGCAAGGCAGATCCAGCACTACATCCAGTATTAGAATGGAGGTGGAGGCAGTAACGGCAGCTTTTGGACGGCTTGAGAGCAGCACAGCCCGACATGTAATTCTGAGAGACTCACAGAGCATGCTTCGGAAAACTGTGCGCATCACTCGATATGACCCTGATCAATAGTATATCCTGGACTGTCTATACAGGATGTTTAGGTGTGAGAGGTAATGAGCAGGCTGACAGATTAGCTGCTACTACTCCTCTGAGTTACTTTATAACAAAGCAGATTTGGTGAAGGCTCTATGGAGTCAAATGGGGACAGTGCAATAGAACAGATAGGGAATCCATACACTGAAAGACTAATTTAAGGCAGGGTATGTGAAGGTTCTGGAAGATATTTAAAACTGAGGGTGAACAGAGACTTTTAATCAGGTTGCAGCTGGCACTAATAGCATGTCAACTCTTGGTTGGTTACTGAAGAAGGGGTCAGAGAACATGTGGGAATGTCCATAGAGCAGTGATGTCAATTCTTGATTCATTCATTCAGTCATTACAGGCAGACATGGTCTGTCAACTGAAGTTCCATCTCCAAGGGTGATACCACCTGCAACTGGTGGTGCCTTATGCAATTAACCATGTGTGTGCAACTACAGATCTGTTTTAACTGTTGCTTCCACTGACGATCAACTGCACTTCTAGAGTGGGACTGATTGTGGTGGTACTTCTGACGGCTGCCTTATGCATTTAGTGCATGTGTATGCTACTGGATTTGCTAAGACTGCAGTCTGTGGAAATTTTGTTTCCACTGTGGGTCAGTGATTGCCTGGTTACTTGTATGGTTTGGTCCATTTTTTTGGACAGAATAAAATAACCAACCTGATCTGTGATTTTGGTGATCATGCAAGAACCATGATTGTCTTCACTTATCAACATTGATCCCCATTATGCTTGATGTATGAGGACTATTTATTATCACAGCACTGGACAGATCTCTAGATACTCCTATCTTCTCCACAGTAAATACACAACCAAAAAATGGATAAACATTATTCCAAAATATTTTTTTGAAAGTAATTTTTTAAGTAAGACTTTGCCACTGCGTCATATCCCACATTGTATCCTTCGCACAGGGACCAAAGGCGGTCACATCCTGTGTACAACTAAGGACAAAGAGTTAAAGTAAATTAAAATGTGTCAACAGCCTGTACAATACAAAACAATACCTTTAATTAATCCGTTAGGTTGGTCATCGTCTGGAGATTCTGAGTGGCCGCCTTTGACAGCAGGCTTTTTTGTAAATCTGTACTTTAGAAGGCTGTTAATTGTGCCAGCCGATCCATCATTTGATCCACTCATTGTTATTTATTTGCCACTGTAAATATATATATATTGCTTATGTAAAATGATCCTTGCTATGTGTTAAGTATTAAGCATGTGTCTCTAAAGTATAAGTATGCGTGTGTAAACTATAAAGAATGTGTGTAAAGTTGATCATGCTTCTAAATTAAAGTATAAAAGTATGTCTGTATAAAATATGAGCACCTTTATGTAAAGTATATATGTGTGTGTGTGCATAAGATGTGTGTCTACATTATATCTAAAGTATATATTGGTCTGTAAAGTACAAGTATGTGAGTGTGTATTGTACAAATAATGTGTGTGCACACTGGGCGTTCCATTGCATGGGTGAGTGTAGATTCTGGAAGATTTTTGGCAGTGAGGTGGACTATTAGCAGTAGGAGATACTGGGGCCTGGAGTCATGACCCAGGTTGGCCCTCCTTCCGAGATTGTTTAGGATAGTAACGGGCCAAAACAACTGTCGATGGAGGATCTTCTAGTGATGACCGGTAGACTCCTGCTGTGTATGCTCGCCTGTGGAGTTTTTTTTTTAATATATTATCACACGTCAACTCTTCACTGACACACAGAGTTCATGCAAATCGTGTTAGCAGTCTGGTAAGCGCCACTATCCTTATTTACTGTTTTAATCCCATCTATTGTGCTGTGAATGCTCATACCGACCATGACTTTTTATGGACCTGTCTATATAGATGACAATGTCTTGTGGGCATGAATGCTGAGTGGGCATGAGTGCCTTTATTTCGGTGTCTATAATGGCAAGTATCTGGTTCCTGCAGTACCTACTGGTGTGTCTGTCCAATCCTTTCTGTGATTGATCTCCTCTCCCAAAAAGTCAAATTTATCACACGAACTTGTCTGTCAGTGAAAATCAGAAAATGATCACAAGTGGAAGAATCTTATCTGGGTCACATGCTTTGCTACACTGAATTTTCAACGCTCTGCCATCCAGCAGCAGCCTTTTGAGACACACAATTGTATATCGTTGCTTTGATAGCACAGTCCAGAGGATAGGTAATGTCTGCTAAAACCTTTAAGTAAACCTCGACCTGTGCCACTTTATGTCTAGTAGCCTTGTCAGCTAGGTTTTGTTGACAGTGGAAAAGCCTAGACCGTAGTCTATAACCCTTGACAGACATTTTTGACAGAGAGGAAAACGTAGGTAGGCTTTACTCAATATTGATGGTGGCTGCTCCTATCACTTTCAGTGCGCTCAGATCTTTCCTGTCTCTACTATGACACTGTCTACTATGTGATACTTGGCAAACTTTCTGACAAGTTTTCTGTCTTCGACACAAAACCCTGGTTGCCACAAGTCCTAATTTAGTATCACTAGCTTTATCTACTACATAATAATGGGGTAACTTCACCACATTTTCAACGTGTGAAGAGAAGGCGTTTAAGATAAATTCCAGAAATTACTAACTACTATGACTAAATAATCAGTCTCTCCAACCATTTGTATATTACTTTGCAAAATGTCATCACTATATATGATGTGACGATTGGCCGAACTGACAGTACATTACAGAAGTGCATTCGCTCTGATCACTCACTTTCTCTAACTGTAAAACAACCGGCCCTTCTTTAGAAATTAGCTGAGTCTGATCTGACTGATCAGATCAACAAAAGAAGTTAGAACTAACTGTCTAGCGGTCAGTCCGAAATAATCACTATATATCATTATATTTATATCGATGTGTCATCACGTCGCGTTACATCAGGTGTAACTTACATTTACACTTTGGTTTAATTAATACGACTGCCAACCTCAACCAGATGATGATGGCACATACACATTCAGTCAAACATCGACACATTAGTTCTGTGTGTCGTGACTGTCAGTAGGTCGCTCGCAGTCTCAGAGCAGAAAAAACCAAAGCAAAAAGTCAGCCGCTTGCGTCTCCTAACTTCTCTAGTTGACACATACACAACTTGTTTAAGAAAGAAAGATACACCAAAAATGTACAAACACAATATTACCACTGATATAAATCCAAATATGTCGAAGACAACGCCGATATTTCTAATCCTCGGCCCAAGACAAGGAATAGCTCAACACACATCCACAGATTTCGCCGTTGCCGCAAAATTACGTGAAATCAAACCACATGTCCGTTTTTGTCAGCAGTTGTGTATATTGTTATGAAACAATCACTATGAAGAAAAAAAATATATTTATGTGTTTATTTGTTCATAAATATCTGCAAATAGGTATAAGTAATTATTTTTAATAATTATTAACGTTTAAGATAGCTAAAATGTGTGTTATCTTTCATTTTTTTAACTGCTTTGAATTATTATTTTCCACGTCACGTGGTTTCTTTCCCAGAGTTGATTCTACCATACCGGACTTGTCCTGAAAAAATCTTTTCTTTGTGGGCTTCTCCATGTGGGTTTTGGTGCCGCTTTTGTTGAGAAGGGTCAGTTACAGGTTAGAGTTGCAAGCCTTTCCAGGTGATATCACTAGGGAGGCGGTGACAAAATGGCAAAAGTATGTTTTTTGATGCAAGACAGAGCGTATGTTGGGAGGGGGACATAATGCCAAAATATGTGTTCTAGTGGAATACAAAACATATGTGCGGGGGAGGGGGCGGAGGAAACTGTCAGCAAAGGGTAACACCTGACCTTTCTACGATCAGTTTTAAGTCGTGTTTCTCCACTTACTAATGGATACTGTCCTAACCTATTTGTCATGTGTAACTGCACCTCTGAAATCTGGTTGTGTGTTTGTTGCACAATATTTTTATCTCTTGTTGCATGTCACGGAGGTGTGTCGGCACACAAACTGATACATGCTGCAGTAGATCGCAGATTGTGGAGAGGCATGATCGCCTACGCCAGTCGGCAAGACACCTGACGATGATGATGTTTTATCACTGTGACGATAATTCACTGAAAGAATCCCTTTCTGTTTTACTGACTGAACAGCTGAACAGTCAGTACAACTTAAGAAGCTATCTTTTTTAAATGGAGTCAGGCGCTTCGTTCAGAACGTTTTTTATTTAAAATTCATGTTGTAACTGCTGTTTGTAGATGTATCAGCTCAAGCCATCCTTCCACTCAGTGTCCAAGTATGGGAATTTGCACAATGCTAAAGAATAACATATTCACTATTTTAACAAAGAGGGACACAAACAATAGATTGCACAATTTATTGCTTGACATATTTAGTTGTATCTCGTCAGGCAATAAATTGTGCAATATATTGTTTGTGTCATTTTTGTTCAAATTTACAACAAGGAAACTTTGCTTTGATATTCATTGTAATCTGACACTACATTAAAACGGCACTATCTCTGCGCTGGCTGCTGAAAATGAGGACGCAGCATACATAGGAAAGCCCCGATTTTAATCCTTTACTCAACTTAGATATAAAGGGAGGCTACCAATACATTGATTATCGGTAATATTTTATTTTAACGGTTTCTTCCCCTAGAGTTTTCTACATTTATAATTCACCAATATCGCACTGCGTGGATTTTTATCGTGGTATGGGGACGTCGCAGGTCGACCCAGCCTAAAATGGGTACCAGGATGGGCTGTCCTGGGAAAGTAAAGACAGCCGGCGTAATGCTGACCACATTACCCACAGAGTGCTGATGGTCTGTAAATATATGGGACGCTCTGCCCATATGCCCGATGCGCCGAAAGGCGTGAAAAGGGAACTTTACTTTACTTTACCTAATATCGCACCGACTCTTGCTCTCCCATTCTGTCTCCTCACTCCTCTCTGCCTCCCTCACACTCTTCCACGCTCTGTCTCTCTCACTCTATCTCTTCACTCAGCCTCTCTGTCTATTTCTGTTCTCTCTGTCACTCTCTAAATATTCACTATCTCCTCTGGAATGTTCTGGACGATTTTCAACAATGAAAGGAAAAAAAAAAAACAGGCGGCTTTAAAGCAAGTTACCAGTGGTGCTGTTAGCATGTCGACTCTTCGTTAACTACTGAAGAAGGGGACGGAGCAGATATGAAAATATCCCGAGCGTAATGGTGTAAGTTTATTCATTCTCTCCTCTCTCTTTCTCACCATCTCGCTAACTTCCATTCTTTCGCTCACAAACCTCCCCCCTCCCCCTTTCCCCATCCCATTTTTTTTTTTTTTTTTTTGCACTTCCTCTTTTTCTGCTTTTCATATCCTTCCCAGATTCTACCATTTTATCTTAAGTACTCCTACAGATGAACAAGGAGCACATACATACATACATACATACATACATACATACATACATACATACACACATACATACTACATACACAAATACATGACATGCCACACACATGCATACTCACGACGCATCAACTACATACATTCATACATTTACATACTGCAATAACTGACATACAATACATACATACATACATACATACATACATACATACATACATACATCATCATACATACATACATACATCCGTACATACCTACATACATACATACATACATACATACAACTACATACATACATACATACATACATACATACATACATACCTAGCGTACATACATACATGCAATACATACATACATACATACATTCACATACATACATACATACATACCGTACATACTACATACATACATACATACATACCATACATACATACATACGTACATACGTCCTAGCGTACATACATACATACATAATACATACATACATACATACGTATAATACATACATACATACATACATACATATCCATACATACATCATACATACATACATACGTACATACATACATACATACATCCATACGTACATACGTACATACATACTTACATAACATCGTAGCATACATACATACATACATACATACTAACATAACATACACACATACATACAATTACATTACATACATACATACATACATACATACATACATACATACATACATACATACATACACGCGCATACATCATACATACATACATACATACATACATACGTACATACATACATACATACATACTACATACATACATACAAACATA